AATTAACAATAATTTTAATAGTTGACTAGTCTAGCTACAATTAGGAGCAAATACTCATTGTAGAATGATCTATTGGTCTGTGCCTCCAAATAACTATATTTCACTGAGTTTGTATTTAGTATTTTTTGTAAGAAAATACATTTCCTTGCTCTTCTCTTCTCTAGGTCTGCTCAAATGCTGTCAAGGTACAGGCCCCGTGCCCCTATCCTGGCAGTGACCCGCTGTGGCCAGACTGCTCGCCAGTGCCACCTGTGGCGCGGCATCTACCCCGTCATGTACACCAAGCCCGCCAATGATGTGTGGGCTGAGGATGTGGACTTGCGTGTCAACTTTGCCCTGGAAGTTGGTCAGTATTTTTTTTTAAAATCACCCAAAATATTGAGAGAGAATGGTATTGTTCTTATATCTATTATTGTATTGTTCTTCCTCTCAAGACACCACATGATTTTACTGAGAACTAGCTGTGGATCGCTTGATTAGAAAAATGATAACTGACTACTGATAAATACTAGCAAAAAATATGTGTGACTAACAATATTCCCTATATTTTCATAGGCAAGCACCGCAAGTTCTTCAAGTCCGGTGATGTGGCGATTGTGGTGACTGGATGGCGCCCAGGCTCTGGCTACACCAACACCATGAGAGTTGTGTTGGTGCCTTAAATTTAGAACATGGACATGAATAATTATTTTAAAAGTTTAAATCACCCTGCTCCTCTGTCAAAAACGCCCACTTCATTGAAGGACTCAAGATGGCGTCATTCAGTAACAACATGATTCCTAACAAGCTTATGTGCATTTTACTGTCCAGATCATGCTTTGAGCTGACCACATTTTTCGAGCCTTTCTGTTCTGTATTATAAAGTGGATGAACGGGCAGGTGGTGAAAGTGTGGTTATGTTTTGTAAAGCATGACTTGGTTTCTATCCATTAAAATACTCCTTTCCTATTTGATGGTCTTTTTATTTATTAGAGTTGTAATAGTTTGTAAAAGCTATAAACTATAAATAACTATAAAATACACTGACATGCAACTGGATGGCCTAGTGGTTAGGTCACAGCCCACATTCAGGGCAACATGACTGCCTTGACATGGTGAATTTGATTAACATCTTTGATAGTTTACGGACTAGTAAAAAAAACAAGCAATTGAACTCCAGAAATACATGTTTTCAATCAATTCAATCACTATAGTTTTCAATCCTTCGTAATGTGAGTTTCAACCAAATTAATTAAAGATTACAACAACACCATCTCAAAGCATCAATAATCATCTTATTTTATTGCATTTTGTAGCTAAAATAAAATATACCCAAGATACATACAGTTGGTGATATTGTGATAAAATCTGGTGGTAAAAGGCAGCGAGATGAATTTAATGTATACATAAATGAATATGGCTGACAGAGGCCCCCCCTCCTCTCTACCAACAAAATCAACTCCACACCTTTCCCTGTGGAGGCCTCTGGTATTGCCAGAGTTTGGTAATGAGGAGAGTGCTATGTATGAACTGATTGTATCTTCAAATAAGCAAACCGTAAAATCCACCGTTTTGGTTTTCCCTGTAGACAAGCTGCAATGTTGTAGTTCCTTGATGGCCAAAATAGTCATAAAAACAGACCCAAATATTAACAGCATAGATGTAATACTTGACTATAAAATTGTCATTTAATAATATAGCATAGCATTGCAAAGCAGCAGTTGTTGACAAGATGCCAGTTTGTACAATCCAATGATTTTTCAATGTAAGAGGTAATAATGCAGGCAGCGAAATGCAGCTTCTTGAAAACCACGTGTGAACAATGTACAGTATCTGCTGGTAGCCCTTTGACAGGTGCAAGAAACATTCAGATCCATCTTAGTGATTGGCTGGTTTGAGGATGTTTGATTATCCGTTGTCACTTCTTCACACATTTGCACTCAACTAAAAGACCAAAAAGTTCTTTGCTTCACAGTACTGTTGTTAAGCCATAAAAGCAGAATATTGCATACTATTCTAGTGGCACACAGACCTTGGCTCAGATGTATTCCTTGACACTACGAGTTGCTATTGTGCGGGAAAGTAATAATAAAAAATAAATATGTAATGAAACAATGTCAAAAATATAAATACATTTCACTTCTCCCAAAACAAACATTACATTCACCATTTGAAAGCGATCTGAATTGTGTGCAATATTGCTAAAAATGCTATATTGGAAGACATGCTATAATAACATAAATCAAAATTTAAATAAACTCAATCAAAAGTGCACAGTCTGTTTTTGTTCAAAGTCAGTGCTGGAAAGGGTTAAAAAAGGACAGTCATTTTTGGTTTTAGTTATAGTTGGATACAGTTTTGGGCATAATAATTTAACTAAGGAGCTGTAACTAAAAAGATTACACAGTGACAATTGTTCAAATAAATATAATAAATATAAAACAGTATTGATATGATATAATACATTTAACAATTCATCCATTGCATGAGGTGCTATAGGCTATATTTATCAGTAGGTTTGAATTTTAATATTTTAATCAAGGAAGTCCTGTAGAAAAACTCCATTGTTGTCCCTTAACAATTCCATTCAATATTGTTTATAAAATCTCCAGTCTGATTACGAAAACACACCCTCCCGCTTCAAGCATTGGCAAAGTTGTAATGAAAATGATGCCAAAATCTTCATTGTGATGTTCTGTTGGCATTAAAGGAGGGTGTGTGTGAACCTCACAAGCTGGAGGGAAGTTGTGACTGTGAATTTTCAGTGTCTAACATTTCCACTGAATATGATTGATTTTCTGAAGAGTGGGGTGCTATTACCTTATTTTGAGGTTCAGATTCAAACTGTGATTGACTAACTGGGGTGCCTTGTCCTGGGATTGCACTGTAAGGTTTACAGACTGAAATGGGGGAAGAAAATGGACTAGATGTCACTTCTGAAAATCCACCCATTGCCAAAGGCCTTTCTTGGTGTATAGCACTGTGCGAGCCTGAGATAGTCTTTATTTCCTGGGTAAAACATTCCCCCAAGGACTCTGCCTGGACTGATCCGTGTGCACTGTCCACTCGAGGGGGACAGGATGCTTGAGGGGCGAGGGGGGTGTGGTAAACTGTCCTGGTTTTAACAGGGCTTTGGACATTTGGACTGGGTATGGGAGGGGTGTAGCATGGCGAGTCCTCAGCTGATCCGTACTGAGCAAGAGATGCCAGGGCAGAGTGCTCAGGTACCACTTGGGGCAGGAAGGCAGAATGGAGGCCTGCCAAACTGTGTTGGGCCAAAGATGCGGCTGCTCCAGATATGCGGCCACTGGGAGGGTGAGCACTGGTGACAATGGGGAAATATGGAAGATTTAGGCTGGATGTTCTAACCACTTTGTCATGCCTCCCTAACATCTGGTGCCCTGTGCCATGAGAGGTCTGCTGCAGCTGGCTCAAAATGGGACCGACTGAACTAGAGATCAGCGGGCTTATGACGGAGGAGGAGGGGGGCGGAAATCTCCCAGGCAACCTCATTGTGGCCCCCTGCTGGAGAAACTGTGGCGGTACGCTTGTGAAGGCGCTGAGGAAAGGTTGAGGGTGTGGTTGTGTGGTGGAGCAGGTGTAGGACACAGTGCACTGACCCATTGAGAGGACGGAAGGGATGTGGTGGGGAGGTTGTGGGATAGGGACAAGAGGCTGCATGCTGCTGGTGAAGATGGGTTGAGCTGGTAGTGTCTGAGAGACTGTGCCACATGAGACGTTGGGGGTCCTGAGAGACATCACATTGGGGGTCTCCAAAACTGTATGTAGTTTAGTGGAGCAGACAGGAGAATCAGATCCCGACCCACCGCTGGACTGTCCCATGTGGACTCTTTTTGAATGTGGCTCTCTGAAGGATGCACTGTGGGTCAGAGGATGGAAGAGGATGGGAGGTAATTGGGAGTGGTGGGCTAAAGCTAGAGCCAGAGGTGTGGTCGCGGCTGCAGCCTGAAGAGGAGCCTGGACAAGGGGGGCCCATATGACCGGGGTGGGGGAGGGTGAGGCTTGGGGTGGAGCTATGCCCTGTGGAGAGCTGGTCTGGATCAGCTGAGTGCACTGGGCCATGTCCCGGTCGTGTTGAACAATTCTTTGGATGATTTCATTCTCCTGGAGGTTCAGGGTTCCTGAACTTTGGTGATGCTGGACTTTGTGTTGTAGAACAGAATTCCGTTTACCTAAGTAGACAAAATAGAAAAATAATAGCTACAAAGCTAATGTCTCCAAAATAGTAAACCATTTTGTACTTTTAAAGGTCTTATATTACACAAAATGGATTATATTGAGCTTTAAGCCATGTTAAAATGTTGTTACCTCATCAAAAACATACTCAGAATGTGACTAACCCTTTGTTATTAGTCTGTCTACATCTCCAAAGCTGTGTCATTGAGCGATAGTTTTCAAATTAAGAGCTACTTTTACCTATTTTTTTGTAGAAAGTGGGTACTCCAGGGCTAAAATTATCCAAATAATTGTAGTGAAAGTGTATGGAGGTTAAAAACACAGTGGAGCACTTTGTATTACCACATGACATCACAAGGTGGAACAGACTCTTTTCTGTTTGCGAGAATAACTCTCAAGGCAAGATTTGTGTGCTAAACGTGTGAATGAAACAAAACTCCAGGTATGGTTTTGATGAGGAAACAACATTATAATATAAATAAGAAAATAGAATAATATGGGCCCTTAATCATTTTTTGACCTAATCTAGTTAAATATGACCTCTCTACATTTTAACACATTTCTCTCACCAATGCGATCGAGTCGGTCCAGAGCCACTGTCTCAAAGGCCCTCCTCATCATGGGATATTCCTCCAGCACCTCATTGAAGTTGTCCACAGACAGAGAATACAGGCGGCAGTAATTATCGGCACGGACACTGGCAGTCCTCCTGCCCCGAGTCAACAAGCAGATCTCTGATGAAACAAAATGGACACAAGTTTATTAGCATTTGCTATCTAGCTTCATAAAAACAAATGTAATCAAAAAGTACCTTTATGGGCCATTCATAACAGCCAGGGGGAAACTAGTATTATTAGTGTTACATGGAAAAAACAGTAAAAGGGAAAAGCCACAGATGGAGCACTTAATGCAATTTCTGGAGCTTACCGTTCTGTTGTCCTGACCTCGTCTTTCATGCCAGACTCCAAAAAATTTAATAATGTGCCATTTAAAAAGTAGACATACTGTTTTTTAAGAACAGAATTTTTTTTGAATCAAGACTAAACATTAGTAATTTTTACCTCTTGCAATATTTTCACTATCACAAAGACATTCACCACCAATTTACCGAAAAAGATAACTATTAAAATTTAATACCAAGTGACATTGTTCCCTCTTGAAATAGAGTGCTTTTATAAATATAGATTTTTCATTTTTATTTTATTAGGACATTTAGGGAATGGGTGGAAGCCAAGGACAAAATTATTAATTTTGACTCAAGAGAGTTATAAATGATCTTATGTAATTGACATATGTGTTGAAGATACAAACTGCACTCATGAATAAATAAATAAAGAATTTCATTCATAATTTCACTGGAAATCTGCAACCATAACAAAAGCAACAGCAGCAGAGTTATGGATTTCAGATTTAAATATTGTTTTGACAAAAGGGAAAACCCCACTGAGGGATTCAAAGATCACAAAGCTGTTCCCTCTTAGGACTACTGCCTTTTAAGGAGATGATGTGGGCATTTTGTGTGGTAATAGTCTGGAACGTTAAGCTGTTGGTGCTGGGACAGAACAAAAGCACTGCTCTACAATTGTTTTGCATTAAAATCTATAATAACAGCAAATTTCAATAGTGAGACCCACTTTCATGGCCCTTCTAAATAAATAAATAAGACTGTTTATATAAATGTTTTAACATTTATCTTATTTTGAGTTTATGTTTTATATATTTCCTAGTTTCTAACATAAACACATGTTATTTATTAGATGCTCATCTCATAAAATCCCAGTCACAAAATAATAATAAATATATCTACCTCCCCAGTCACCATTAATTTATTTATTTACATGTAACTTAATATTACCTCCAAAATATGATCCATCAGTGAGCTTAGTATCTGTGCTGCTTTTTGTGATGACGCTGACAACCCCATGTTGAATGAAGTACATCTTTTTGCCAATAGTCCCTTCACGGATGATGTAGTCTCCCGGCTGAAAGACCTCAAATCTCAGCTTGGTCAACATTGAAGTGACAAAATTTGGATCAGCATTGGCGAACAGTGGCATGGACGCTACCAGTTTACGGCAATTAAAGTTGATAATTTCCTGCAAGAGAAACAAAAAAAGTGGAAAAGTTGTCAAAAGTTGAATACTGGCATGAAACACAATTGGTTTGCAGCACATGTCTAACTGTCTACATGTGTACATTTCAATCATTATAAAAGCAATGTGGTTAACAGCTTAGTGCTCCGTTAATGAGGTTTTCTGCGCGCTTTAGCTATTACTAATCAGATTACATGACTGCTAACATCATCATGCAAAGTAAGGGGCCATATTAGATTATTTTGAAAGTAAACAATTTAGAAGGACAATGCTCTGATAAAACAAATACACATTTTACATTTGTTATACATTTGGTTAGTGCACTGGGTCAGAGATGGTTAAAGCTACACTATGTAACTTTTATAAAGGGAGGTGATGGAGTGTTTGTCTCCATGTTGTTGTTGTTATATGTATATATATATGTGTGTTTAGATTGATAAAAAACACTGAGGTAGGCCCCACCACGGATCTGATCAGTAAATGATCAGTAGCTTAGTGGTGTCACCTGTTTTTACATATTACAATGAGCATAACTAAAAAACACAACCTAGGACTGAACTGGCACTACATTAAACCCTGTTCTAGATCTAGGATTAAACGAGTCTCAGCCAATCTAAACATAGCCAGGACTTCTCAGGGTTATAAAAATCCAATAGTGATCTGATCCCAGTAATAATAATATGCCCTTTTTATTATATTGTCATCGGCTCTGTGTTCGAACACAGACACTTCCTGCCATGCTTTGAGGAATGACTGGTGGATTTAAACACAGTCAAGAGTGACTCCACAGACAAAGGAGACTTGGAAATATCCATATCATTATATATATGTATATAATATACAAGGTATACATGAAAACTAAACCAGGATTTAATGAGCTCTAAATCAACCAGGACCATTGTAGCCCTATTGGCCAAAGTTAGTTGATGAATAAAACAAAACCGAGCACTTGAAACCAATATATTTGGTGGCCTAAAACTTAAAATGAATCTTCTCCAAGTAGAGCAGAAAGCAAAACAAAACAAAACCAGCATCCCACCGCTAATACCTGTGCCACCCTTTTACAATCCTCTTCATTTGCATTTTTTAACTGACACTAATTGGACTAACTGACCTCTCTGAGAGGCTCATTGAGCTCCTCCAGGATGCTCTCCTCGTCAAACATCTTGCCCTGATAGCGGTGCTCATAATAGTCATGGATCCTCTGGCGCATGTCGGCAGGCAGTTTGTGGAAGGACATGTACTGCTCCACTTGTTTGTACTGTAAAGACAAGCAGACCAATAATGAGATGTACATTAACAATGCAAATACAATTTATCTTACACACTTTCCTTTGCAACTTGCACTGACAGAAAAAGTTGTATTTGTTTATGAGAACTCTGTAATTAAAACATATTGGACATATTGATTAATGTCCAATCTCGTCTAGGAAAGTACTACGTAAGTCTAATACCTTGTTATTAGTAGTAGTACCTATCAGTAAAATGGATGTTTCTTTCAAAAACAAAATCTAATTATTTTCCCAAGTATATATGTGAGCCATGTTTACTCTATATATTATCTATATTTTGTAATTGTATCATAATATTTCTTCTATTTTTTGAAGATGATTCACAATGTATTTCTACCTCCCTAATATATATGAAAGTAATGTTTTATTACTGAAACAAAGTGAAAATGCCTATCAAAGTAAAGTGAAAATGACTTGCAAAGCCTAATCCTAATGATTAGTATGATTGATGCTTTGGCTCAGAGGTGGACTGTAATGTGCAGGCTCATTATTTTAACAGTGAAACAGAGGGGCCATCTGTGAGACCAGCCCACTGAGTCCCATCTGACACACACATACAGGGGTGATCTGCTGCAGGCTCAGGCTAACAACATTAACACTGTGCCCTTCAGCCTTGCTCTCCTTCTCCCAACTGTACACACCCAAACCTACAGGCTACAGGGGGACAGGACAAGTAAAGGGCTTGACAGTGTTGTTGTTTTTAAATAATGTCTCAGTATAGGATAGTTTAATGTATTTATTTCTAAACACTTTAATTATAAATGTATGACAACAATAGTTTCATATTTAATCAATAATAACTCCCATGTTGTATTGACCAATTAAGAGACTACAGTGTTCTACTTTGAAACTTTCCAAAGTGGACCACACCGTCTGAACGAAAGGGCAAAGAGTTATAAAAGTTGTATGCTACATTGTTCTTTTTGAGACAGTTTTAGTCGCTTCTTGGCAGCGGACTCGTAAAGAGCCTTCAGGGGGATCAAGGCAAAAGTTTTTGAAAACTTTTGTTTGGGTCCCGTAGACTTCATTGCCAATTCTTAATGTTTGGTTTATTACACAATTGTTAGAAGTGTTCAGTATCGCCTGTAGCCACAGCTGCCCAGGGACAGAATGACAGATATAGCAACCAGCTTTCACCTCCAGTCACTAGAACACACTGTTATTTTCATATAGGAAAGAAGAATGAAATGTCTTTTCCAGAGAGAAAACATCAAAGCTGAGTGAGATGAGATGCCACCAACTTTTTGACTAAACCACAATCGCTCATTCTTAAGATCGAAAAAAAAAACATCTGGCATCTCTTACATGTGCATGCATTCTAATTGTGCAACTATTTTATTATTTTGTTATTCAAAGATTTAATTATTTATTTATTGTTTTTATTGTCACATAAGTTTGCCACTTTTGTTTTGCTAATTTGCATATTTGTTATGCATCTCATGCTATGCTAATATTTCTTATAGTTTTGCTAATTTGTTATGGCTAATTTGTGTTGATTTGGTTTAGTCCTTATGGTGCCTATAGGGAATACAGTTGGGTAGACCAGAATGCACCTGGGTGGGCCTATGTTTTTTACCAGTCCGCAGGAGAAGCAGTTTGCCTTGTTGCCTCTCCTCCTTCTGTTGTTTGTTTCGCCTGCACAAGAAACCAGTGGAAATACATTTCTGGAATGAACATTGCTTTTGTTAAGTTTGTACTGCCTTAAACCACATACCCATGGTGCCAAGTGATTATTTGAGTCTTAAGTTTGTTCACGCTTTTGTTTGTTAGATTACCTTGACAAAATGTTGAAGTCAAAATAAAGCAATAGGGAGAGTAACACAAAGTGTTGCATTATCAGTCTAAGGGAAAGTACTTAGGCACTGCAGAATACATAAAGTGCACAAAACTCAGCACTTGTATAAGACAGACATTATGCCATCGTGCAGAGAGAGGACGCCCACCTTCTCCTGGTACTGCCTTCTGGATGAGTCCAAAGACTGGATCAGAGCAGTGGCATGGCCCACGAACATGGCAAAACAAGTGGCACCTACGATCATACTGAGGATGGTGAGCCAGACGTCAGCCATGCCTATGGGAGGGTACAGGCCATATCCAATACACAGCATGTGGCTCATGGCCTTGAAGAGGGCATAGGAGTATTGCTGACCCCACGTGTCATTCTGGAGAACACAAAGAGCAAGATAATTTCTCAGCATAAAAACAGAGATGAACATTACGATGGATCAATTAGATTATTGTTTAAATGCTGATGTGTTTATGTCTATTTTGTGCCTGGTGCTCCATACCCTTCAGGCATATTTCTGTTATTACATTTAGTTTCTCCAATTATTATATTTGAATTATTATAATACATACGGTATATATTATACACATGTAACCAGAGGCTCTACAAAGACAGTGCACACTTACCACCATCTTGTTCCTTGTGACCCAGCAGTCTGCGGGGAAGTCCTGGAGCATGGGCACCAGGAATTGCAGGCACCCGTCCCAGTGACACAGCAGCAGCATCATCCCAATCAGGTTCATGATCCGCACCATGGCACTGGCCAGGTCATAGGTCATGTGGAAAACCTTTAGCAAGGAATATCAACAAAACATTAAAGTATTTCACTTCTTAAAATTCAAGTTATCAGGAGAAATTAGACAATGCTACTTACTTAATAAAATAAAATTTGGGGGCTTAGATTACTTAATTTGTACTTTTTTACCAGGTTTTATTTAATATTAAAGCTTTTATAAAACTCAACTCAAAACATTCTTCAAATTCCAGTTTCATGCAAGTTGAGCGCTGAGTCACATACAATACTGAGTGGGCCAATGTCTGATACTAAACTTAATCTTCAGTGCAGTACCACGGCAGTTTGTCCGTTATGTAAGAAACTCTGAGCTACATCCACAGCCCTTGGGGAGAGCAGCCGCAGAGAGAGGAGTAAACACACATCCACAGGAAAAGTTTAGTAAGATTAATGTGTGTTTAGGTTGAAGACAACCACATGCAAGTTGGGAATTAAAAAAGCAGCTGGATCTGAATACTTTAAAGACATGGGATGAATACAGTATGTGTTGAAGATTATGGTATGCTGACAAATCATTAAATGTAAGTGAATGATTTGTGTGTGGCGGCGGGCTGGTGTGGGCTTGCTCATTGCCCCACAGCTCAGCTGCCGTGTGTTCGAGTTCACCCCGGTGAACGAGAGGGTCGCGTCCCTGCGCCTTTGGATCGGGGACAGGTCTCTCACTGTGGTGTCGGCCTATGGGCCGAACAGCAGTGCAGTGCGGCTTTCTTGGAGTCCTTGGGAGGGGCACTAGACAGTGCACCAACCGGGGACTCCATTGTTCTACTGGGGTACTTCAATGCCCACGTGGGCAATGACAGTGACACTTGGAGAGGGGTGATTGGGAGGAACGGCCTCCCTGATCTGAACCCGAGCGGTGTTCTGTTACTGGACTTCTGTGCTAGTCACAGTTTGTTCATAACAAACACCATGTTCGAGCACAAGGGTGTCCATAAGTGCAAGTGGCACCAGGACACCCTAGTCGATGATCGACTTTGTAGTCGTGTCATCTGACCTCCGACCGCATGACTTGGGCACTCGGGTGAAGAGAGGGGCTGAGCTGTCAACTGATCACCACCTGGTGGTTGGCAAGCTCCTTGGTGGCAAGGCTCCGGGGGTGGATGAGATCCGTCCTGAGTATCTTAAGTCTCTGGATGTTGTGGGGCTGTCTTGACTGTCATGCCTCTTCAACATCGCGTGGCGGTCGGGGACAGTACCTCTGGAGTGGCAAACCGGGGTGGTGGTCCCTCTGTATAAGAAGGGGGACCGGAGGGTGTGTTCCAATTACAGGGGAATCACACTTCTCAGCCTTCCCGGTAAGGTCTATGCCAGGGTACTGGAGAGGAGAATCCGGCTGATAGTCGAACCTCAGATCCAGGAAGAGCAGTGTGGTTTTCGTCCTGGTCGTGGAACACTGGACCAGCTCTACACTCTCCATAGGGTGCTCGAGGGTTCATGGGAGTTTGCCCAACCAGTCCACATGTGCTTTGTGGACTTGGAGAAGGCATTCGACCATGTCCCTCGTGGTGTCCTGTGGGGGGTGCTCTGGGAGTATGGGGTCCGGGGCCCTTTGCTAAGGGCTGTCCGGTCCCTGTATGACCGGAGCAGGAGCTGTGTTCGCATTGCCGGCAGTAAGTCAGACCTGTTCCCGGTGCATGTTGGACTCCACCAGGGCTGCCCTTTGTCACCGGTTCTGTTCATTGTATTTATGGACAGACTTTCTAGGCGCAGTCAGGGGCCGGAGGGGGTCCGGTTTGGGGACCACAGGATCTCATCTCTGCTGTTTGCAGATGATGTTGTCCTGATGGCTCCTTCAAACCAGGACCTGCAATGTGCACTGGGGCGGTTTGCAGCCGAGTGTGAAGCGGCTGGGATGAGAATCAGCTCTTCTAAGTCCGAGGCCATGGTTCTCGACCGGAAAAAGGTGGCTTGCCCTCTCCGGGTGGGTGGAGAGTCCCTGCCTCAGGTGGAGGAGTTCAAGTATCTCGGGGTCTTGTTCACGAGTGAGGGAAGGATGGAACGTGAGATTGACAGGCGGATCGGTGCAGCGTCTGCAGTGATGCTGTCGCTGTATCGGACAGTTGTGGTGAAGAGGGAGCTGAGTCGAAAGGCGAAGCTCTCGATTTACAGGTCAGTCTTTGTTCCTACTCTCACCTATGGTCATGAACTCTGGGTAATGACCGAAAGGACGAGATCGCGGATACAAGTGCTTGAAATGAGTTTCCTTCGCAGGGTGGCTGGGTGCTCCCTTAGAGATAGGGTGAGGAGCTCAGTCACACAGGAGGAGCTCGGAGTAGAGCCGCTGCTCCTCAGATGGCTCGGGCATCTGTTCCGGATGCCTCCTGGACGCCTCCCTCGGGAGGTGTTCTGGGCATGTCCCACCGGGAGGAGGCCCCGGGGAAGATCCAGGACACGCTGGAGGGACTATGTCTCTCAGCTGGCCTGGGAACGCCTCGGGGTTCCCCCAGAGGAGCTGGAGGACGTGTCTGGGGTGGAGGAAGTCTGGGAGTCCCTGCTTAGGCTGCTGCCCCCGCGACCCGGCCCCGGATAAGCAGACAAAAATGGATGGATGGATTTGTGTGTCCAGAAATTTGCCATAAACTGTTAGTTAAGATTGTTTAGTTAGTATAAATCATAGTGCAGTCTTAAAGATGCACTATGTAACTTGTCCTACATGGCTCCATAGAGACATTATTGCCTTTCCTGTATGGCATTAACCACATTTATCTATCAAATATCAAAAATCCCTGGAAAAATATCCCTTGTTACTGCGAGTGGGGGGCATCTCTCCACAGATATAACCTGTAACTTGGCCTGGTGCTGTCACTTGCTTGTCTCCATGGACAGTACCATACATTACAGGCACACACCTCCAAACAAGCAGAAAAGTTACATAGTGCACCTTTAAATATTTATCCAAAAATAACCAATACAAGCTTCACAGTACCTCCTCCCACTGGTGAATGTAGCGTATAAGTCGGGACAGTCTGAGTAAGCGCAGCAAACTCAGGATCTTCGTGAAGCGGACGATTCTCAGAGCTCGGGCTGTTTTGTAAAAATCAGAGTCTATTCGTGTCTCTACAATAAGGAAAATATAGTCCACAGGTATAGAGGAAACAAAATCCACCATAAACCAGCTTTTTAGGTATTTAATCTTGATTTGTTGAGGGTCCAGGATGATTTCTGTGTTGTCCTCTTTGACAATGCCTGTGCGGAAGTTAAGGACCAAATCCATGAGGAAAAAAGTGTCCGAAACGACGTTAAAGACAATCCATGGAGGAGTGTGCTCGTCCTTGAAGAATGTGATACCCACCGGAATGATGATTAGGTTTCCGACCATCAGCAGCAGCATGGTCAGGTCCCAGTAAAATCTGCAACACAAGGTAAGTTATTTAGTAATTTATAGCAACATATTCAACATAATATTGATCAGGAATAGCAGTTGTAATATTCACCATATTTATTTAAAAAAATTATAAAATCCTTATACTTTTTGCAAATGTTTGTGGTTTCACTCTAATCTAACAGAAGACAAATACACAAACATGTACAAATTTGGGTTGTCAAAAGTCGATATCAAAACTAGATACTCATTTGAGCAAGTATCAGCACAATGGGACAGCAATGAAACTTTCTTGAATAGCTTTATAATGATCTTGAGCTGTGTCACGAGTATAATTATTTGATTATATTCTTGTATGTAGTAAAAAAAAAAACTTAATTGAGAAGAATTCACAACATCAAAATCTACAAAAGACAAGCAATAAATACATATAATGAAAACTTTTAGCCACATGAACTAGTATACACATGGACCATTATGGAACCTACCTGGACAGTTATACAGATATAAGGCCACATGGTAATATAAAAGAAAGTACTATGATTTAATGTTGAAAATGACTCCATGGTCTAAATAAAGTTTTTATTATCATTGTGGTATTGGATTCTATTCCTTAGTGTTGAAATACAGTTGTTTTTTTCCCTTTTATTGAGTATATTTTACACACTCAGAAACTCAGTAAACATTGTTGGTTTAAAAGTGCAAATTTTTAATAGGCAACATAATTCATTGTGCAGTGCAGTGCAGAAATTTTGAATCTTCCTGGATAGTCTGAAATAGACCTGTGTGACATCTGTTCAGCAACTAACAGAAAATACACACCACATAATATTTATCCAGTTGGCTCTGCTTAACAATGAGATTTCCCCTTGAATGAGCATTAACTGTTCAAACACAGTTTGATCAGTTCTCATCTGGGAGTCGTACAAGGACAACTGGAGAAAAAATGCAAATGAAGCAATTTACTGGATGTCAATACTGGGATTAAAAATACTGGACAATATTGGGGCATACAAATACATAAAAACTCAACTGCTGTGCTATCTCAGTTTCTATTTATGTTTGTCTCTTTGACATTACTTAACTCAAAATAGGCAACATCTTCTGAAAGGGTAAGCAGTATTAAACATGTGGGGTTAAATTATAGTATTAGTAGACTGTAGACAGTAGAATAATCATTATCCAAATAATAAATATGATGTATATAGGCCTATCACAATAATTAATACACGACTTCAATATATGAAAGCTGGAACAAGCTGGAATATTTTGGGGATCAATATTTATTGAGTGTACAATTTCTTTGTAATAGTGGGGAGGCTTTTGCCGTTTTTATAACGTAAGATTTGAGAGGTTGATGGTAGAAAAACTAACTTCTTTAGCTAATTATTGCTTCATTCTGCTATTTATTTGCCCTTTTATTGATGCTGCCTATTTAAAAACTGGTTTAGTGGAATAATATTGCTTAGTGTCAGTGACATAAAGTAGTTTCAATATTATCGTTTACCGAAATACTACAATTCAATTCTAACATAAGTTCTTGTCTGCACTTGTCCTCTTCAAAATGGTTGCTTATTTTAAACATCACAAAATCAATAAGACTTCCCTTTAAAAGCTACACAGTTATTCAAGAGAATCAAAATAGCTAGTTTTTACAAATTATTTCTGAATAAAGACTTTGATGTTATCTGAGGATACAACTACAACTCAACTGCAGTGCTGTTTCAATTTCTATATATGTTTTATTTTCCTTTTTATTACATCAAAATAGGCAACATCTTTTGAAGGAAGTATGCACTATTAAACTTGTGGGGTTAAAATATTGTATTAGTTGACTGTTCAAATCATTGTTCAGATAATAAATATTATATAGTATTAAATATGATATAGGTTCTTGTCTGTTTGAAAATGGTTGCTTCTTTAAAATATATCAAGAAATCAATTCCCTTTAAAAAGCCACAAAATTATTGAATGAAGACTATCTGAGGATATTTCCCCATTCACAATTCACTGTAGATCTCAAGGCTTTCGAGGACATCCATTCTACTTTTAACGTTTCACACAAATTCCCAGTGGGCCAGCCCTGTGTAACGAGGAACAAGGGAGCTCTTTACAGTGGCTGAGTATTTGTTATGGCGCCTTCAGTTAATTTGCGCTTCTCTATGCAAAATCCTGCCAGGGTACAGTAAGGAGAGGTGACTGTTTACCATTCAGAGGTGAGCGTGCTAGAGGAAGAACCATGCAGCTGTGTGATTGCATGTCCAATCCTTTTTAGAGAGCTAATTAAAGTGTGATCGATCGCGACAGGAGGCGGGCACACCTACAGTCTTTAGGGTCCTCTGAGGCACCACCAGAGGCATGGAGGCACTACACCATTAAATGCACTTCATATACTAACACACTATGTAATTATTACAAAGGTAGAACATGCAATATTGTTCAGTTGGTAGATTTATTAAATGTGCTAATGTCATTCAGATGCATAGGAATCTAGTATTTCTGTATTGATAATTGATTATACATTTTCAAGATTTTCAAGAAATGTCTGAAAAGTAAGTCAAAAAAAAATTAGATCTCATTTGTATAACTAAAGCTGGATGATATGGCAAAAAAAGATAATCACTTTTCTCTTGAATTTATCTAAATTCTCTATTGTATTTTATTTTTTCTTAACAAAAACAAAATTGATTTTATGATAAACAAGATAAATCCAGGTGTCATTTAACAAGAAAAATAGTCAAATTTCTTCCTCCAAACGACATATTGTTACTGACAGAGGATTGGATGTGGACCTCTCAATTAAAAAGACTCAAGATGATCACTGACAATAAAAATGACTAAACCTCAATCTCCATTAAAATTTGATTAAGTACACAGCTGGAAACCCATAAAATATATTATGAAATTGTAATAACCACAAACTGACTAAATAAATACCTGGGGATTCAATGTGCCAACCTTCAGCCACAAATTACAGTTGTACTGAATGTGCAGGTCATTGTACCATTTAGGAATTAGTTGTCCAGACTATGCAGTAAACAGCTGTGTGGTGCTTTTACAGGATTGGTCTTGTGAATTGCAGACACGTGCTGCTAATCACTGCACCTTAGTTCATTAATTAGTCATTATTTATTAGCAGGAGTGCACACATCCCGTTGCCAAGGTGATGTGCTGCTTTTTAGACCATTTAGGTAGAACACACATAAGCTATAGTAGGATACATTCACTTTGTGGGCCCTTAATCTAGAAAAAATATATCTAAGAAACATGTTGCAGTTTTCTGAAAATGTGGTAATATTCTGGAAACCTGGCAATTCTTGTAAACTTAAGACAGCAATCCTTTTCCATTTCCGTTTCTGTAAAACATCATCTTATTTTTTTGCCTGTTGTCTAACAGAGTATATTCTTGCAACAATAAAAAGCCCAGCTGCACCTCAAACATAAAAAAAAAAGTTTTTAAATGGTTTCACTTTTTGCACTAAAAGTTCTAGCCTGATTCATCAGCCGATTTCATTTCGTAGAAACTGTCTAATCTTGCAGCATTAGAATTCGTACACTAGAAGGTAGGCGGGTAATATTTTCATTTAACCAATCGCTGCTATTTGGTTGTGATGTGTGTAAAGCGCCACTAACGGGGCTAACTGGTATATTAAGCTTTTCCCAAATCCCGTAGGAAGAAGGGTAATAATGTCTTTCCCATTAAAATAAAAAAATTAAAATTCACCAAACAATCTCTTTATTCCGGCTTTAAATCCTCAGTCTCAGGAATCGTTGCCAACACAGAAGGTATGGCTCTTCACTGATTGACTGGTGCCCAAACTTGCAATTCCAGGGTTTTTGCAAACTGTCTAGTGTATTCCGATTCCTGACCTAGTCACTGGAGAGAAATTAAATTGAGCGGCGGCACTATGTGGCGCCAGCCTGGCTACCAAAGTGCAGTTTGATGAAAATCATTCACAAATGTTATGTTGAGTTATTCAGTATTATTGGGCTATCTCCTTCTATAGAGTTGACTTCACAAGCTCCTCCATGTTTTTAAAGTCTACACACCTTAACAGGATTTATTCTGGTCATTTCAGGACTAATACCTTCAGTAAAGCAGTCTTGCCATGACATGTATTATTTAAAAAATGCTTTACTCCTTTGCTCTCTCATCAAGCAACAGTGGTGCTTTGACAAATGAAGCGATGTTTAACCATTCTAGATACACATATATATATATATATATATATATATATATATATATATATATATATATATATATATATATATATATATATATACACATGTGTTTAAAGCATACTAGAAAAATAGTTTATTTTTTTGACTGGTTGACTTGTGGTTTAGCTGAGCTATGCAATTTTGTTGAACAATTTGTTTTTTATGACAAATCCCTTTACCTTACATTGAACATCAACCTTCAGTGCTTAGAATCACTAAAAGCAGTAACTTAGTAATGGCGTAGTGTGGCCATTTGTCCTAATCAGCTTTCTGTTGTTCTCTGCCAAACAAAGCATTTGCATTGGGCCCCTCATCTGCTGCTCTGCCTCTGACACACTGCTCCTAATTGCATGTTCCCTCTTTGAGCTTAAATCCACCGTTATCTCCTGGGAATCCATGTCAACTCCAGAAGTCACCCTCTACCAAGCCAGATGTTTCATAGTTAGCATTATAGCCCACGTCATGCCTACCAAACAGCCCAACATCTGGGCTAGGGAAAGGTTCTAAGGGACAGCACATTGCTAGGTATAATCTAGAGTTACCATTATTTGAAAGTTTTGAACTCACTGGACCTCTGCTGGCCCTGAGAGGAAATTTGCACCATGCAGGTCAAATGGGCAAAAGGACGAGAACAGCATTACAAAAGAAAGTGCATATAAAAACAGGCTTAAATGGTGAAAAGAAGCTTAGATCAATCAGGACAGTTGAAAAAGAGAGAGAGGAATACCATGTAGAACACTGGCTGTCAGAGCTAAAACAACACATAACAGCCTGTGTGTAGATCTTAGGTTTAGCACACACCTGTACTGTGTCTCTGGATCAAGTATACACCAATCAAGCATATTTACACTGCAACAGACTCCTCTTCACGGAGTCTGCTGATGGTGATGGTGCACGGAAGACTTTGATACAACACAGACGCTGCCATAAATCAAAGTGGGAACAAGTCCTCTGTCACAACACATTACCGCACATAAAAAAAGACGAGCTGTAGACGTGATTAATGCTGTCCTTTACAGTGGCCTTTAAGGGGTTATGGAATACAGTGCATTAGAGCTGGATGATTTTGTAAAAGAAGATCTAATTGCAATTTTGGCGATATATGTTTTCAAAATGGGACTTTGTAATGTAAACAACTCAAGGAGCTTTAACTTTTGAGTGAAGACTGAAGTATGAACTGATAAACTGAGAGATGTCTTTCACTCTTTCATGAACTACAGTTAAAACAAGACTTTTCTATTGAAAAAGATGGAATATTTAGTTCTGTTATCTACATAATTGTCTAACCTTAGCAAAAATGAACATTGTGATCAATTGTGATTTAGTGTGTTAATGGACAATGTAAAATATTTGTGTTGCTGAAATACATAAATATATATTTTGTATCAGTGTATTGTCTCTTCACTTTGTTTAGCCTTTCAAGGGTTGTCTACAAATGTTTTTAAATAAGTTCTGCACTTTTTAAATGCCAGGTGCCAGGTGTTGTGATGGGAGTTTAAGTCAAAAATATATTGTATTATAAAGGGTTATACAGAGAAACTTTTAGTCTAACTAGACCCACAAATGTAATTTTGTTGCAGCATGATTCAAATCTTGAATCTACTGACAAATAAAGAAGCTATGGCCTTGTAAGTATCAGTTGTTACTGTGTTAAGAATATTGACATGTTAAGGATGTTGTCTGTGTACAGCGCCCTTACAATGTGAAGCCAGTGAAGCCTAGATGCAATCTACCTCGTCAAGGTATAAAGTAGTATTTTTCTTTTCTTTACACAAACGTGTGCTACCAGAGTAATGTAAAAAAGTAACTCATTGCATTGCTGTGTCCTTGGGCAAAATGCTTGTATCATGTGACAGGTGTTTGAGGCAAAGGGACCATAGGCAGCCATGCTATGGACATCTGTACCTATAATTGTAGAAACACTTGAGTTAAAGGACTTACATTACACTATTTTCTGATCTAGGTTGTACTGTAATGCTGTTTCCTCATCAAAAACATACCTGGAGCTGCATTTTGTTTCATTCACACATGTTTAACACACAAACCCTGCATATTTAGGCTGAGTTCTTCTCTCAAACGGAAAACACTCTGTTCCCCCTTATGACATCATATGGTAATACATACACTGTGTTTTTAAACTCCATACATCTTCACTACCATCATTTGGATGATTTCAGCCCTGTAATTGTCAATCTCTAGTAAACTAAAGGTAAAAGGTAGCTGTTAAATTGAAAACTACTTTTTCATGACATCACAAGGTGGAACAGAGCATTTTGAGCTTTGAAGATGTAGACAGACTAATAATAAACAGTAGCTGGAAAATGTGCGAATGAAACACAACTCCAGGTATGTTTCTAATGCGGTAACAATGTTGCAGTCAATTTTGCATAAAATAGGACCTTTAATTCATATGTAATGCAACTTATAATTATTATGAGTAAGCAAAAAAAAAAAAGAAAAAGTAAATACTGGCTCAAGAAAAGTGACCAATTAAGTTTTTATATAGCCTTATGTCAGCTAACATTGCAGTGCAGGAGATTACAGGGCAGTATACTTTTCTTCCATTTCCAAGCCTAAATAATACATGGATAAAAAGATAAAACGTGACTGACAATAAGCATGACACCTTAAACACAGCAGTCAACAGCTGGGAGCCCTGAATCCTCACATCATCATTTCATTTCCACCCGATCTCTCTGGACCTGTGCCGGCCGTGAGTCCCCTCTGTAGCCACACGTTGCTGCTCCATTAGACTAATTGTGTCATAATAATCCTACCCTGATGTGTGCCTCTAATATCTTCAATGGTCATGTTACCCTATTTTGATTACCCCATTTCAAAGCCCCCGCTGCTCTCTCTCTGTAATCCACTGGCCTCACTAAATGATAAAAAAAGTGTAATTCTGATGAGTGGAGAGAGTGGCACACATCTCTGTACAACTGGACAGAAAATATGATGACACTGAGCTTCAAGGTTAAATGTCAGGAAAATCCCTTGATGGCAGACATAAACCGTGCAGGCTGGATCATTGTTATGACATGCATTTGAATACATGTTTTATAATGAAGGCTTAGACATGTAATGTTTAAAATTGTGGAAAATGCATAGTCTATTGTTCATCGTGCTTTTTGAAGTATAGGACAGTTTTAGGCTTCAGACAAACTTAAATTTTCAGAAGAATGATTTCATGAGAGGCTGCTAAATGGGTGTGACCCTTGGCATCATAAAAGCATCAGTAATTATGGTTCAAAGAAAGATTTTTGAGGAGGAAGTGCAATTGTGTCAGCCATCTGTAGGCCAGAGATTAAACGTGCACCTAGACCAAATAAAGGTCCTGCTCCTGCATCTGTCTACACAACATGTGGCTTTGTGCAGGGTTCAACAGGCTGAATATTTTAATCATTCTATGGAAACATGGAAATCATTTGTTATCATACTATTGATTAACTTTATTTTTCTCTGGTTTATCCGGTAAATATGTACAGAACAGACACTCTCCATTTAGAAATGTCATTGTTGCTGCCTGTGCAGCTGAGCTGCACCAAAACAAAACAAGTTGTGCCCTTTACGCCAACTCTGTGACGGGACACTGCGGCACTTCTGCTTGAAAGGCCAATAAAACACAAGCATTACCTAAAGTCACTGTATGGATGGATGATCCAGAAGCCAGCTGACTTGACCCTCTCTCTCTCGTGCTCCACGGCCCGCTCGCTGCCCAGCATCCGCAGGGAGAACTTGTTGACTCCGGGTTGGAGCATGGCCCCGAACTGGCGGTGCATGAATCCGGCTTGGTAGAGACGGTCATCCTCGGGGATGATCTGCTCGGAGCCCTCCAGTTTTATGAATGAGGACTGGTCATACACAGAGTCCTGTCCCGTGGCACCGCTGAGCGCAGAGGGACCCCTCTGCTGGGCCCCGGGACCGCGCTCTGCGTCTGCCTCAGGCAGCAGGCAGCGCTGCTCCGCGGGGTCCACTGGAGCATGTCGCCCAGTGAGGGAGCACAGGCTGCCCCGGAACAGGCGGCAGTCCCCGTTCAAGTTGGTCTTGACGTTGGTCACATCCCGGTCCAAGTCCTCGGACCTGGCCTCCTCGATGCTCCGCGCACTGCTTGCGGGAGACAGAGAGGACAACTGTTTGAGCCCAATACTTTTCCTCTTGTCCTTGTCCCCATTGTCTCCATCATCAATCACAAACGGCTTCTGTCCTATGTTCTGCGGCAGGCTGTAGAGCCGCTTGCGCATGGAAGACTGAAATCTCTCCATTTTCAGAAGAGGGGCACGCGCTGAGGGTGGCGAGGGGAAGCACGCGGATGAATCATGGACCAGACGCTCGCGGTGCTGGTGGTGGAGGAGAGGCAGTGACGGCGCATCTGCAGCAGGTCTCTCACTGGGCACTGTCCCGGTTCAAACATTGAGATGCGTCAATGGACAGTGCCCGTTGCCACTCGAAGCTCTATGAACGCACGCAAATCCTGGTGTCCCGCGTGCAGTAGAGCGCATCAGGATGCAGCATGCTGCGCGTCGGACGTGCCGCTCGCCCCTCAATGACAAAGCATCATCTGCACCTCCCAAAATACAGACGAGGTGATGACACGCGCAGCTCTCGCACGGCGCTGACATCACGCGCCCGTCCAGCAGGCTCTCTCTCCAAACATGTAGATTGGTGGGGTCAATCCCGCGGATTTCTCCAGGAGACAAGAGCACGCGCACATCCCACTCGCGAGCAGCACTCAAGGGAGGACCAGGACAGTGGGGTTCAGAGGTCACTGCTCCAGCCCTGTCAGAAAACAGGACAGGTCCTGACACCTGACATGTGCATACGCATGTTGGCGCGAACACAGAGCTTTCACTGGACGCATGGCAACACAACATGGCCTTTTATCGCATCATGTGTCTATGTGTTGCATGTATGGACTCAATGTAGGCTCTACTTCTCTGAAGTCCTTAAAAATTCTGGTGACTGGCTCAACCCCGCACATAATGTATGCAAAGCATGTGTTGTTGACTGGAGAGAAGAAATTTCTCACTGAGGGTAATTGATTATTTCTAATTTTGACATATTCTGTTCAGACAGTTGGCAACAGCCCACAATGAGCAGAAATGTGACTGCACTGATGGGAAAAAATATGTATTGGGCGTGTCAGCTATAAAATAGCCCACATGTTCATTTGACTTTGTAGATTTTATTGGTGCCGGCATTAAGTTACCATTCAACCATATTGACATTTTTAGTAGGCCACATTTTTTTTTCTGCTAATATAGAAAATGTAGGAAGGCCACCTTCATCCTTTTTATTGTAAAACAGTTGTTTGTTGTTTGTCTGATCCCAGGCACAGAATGTGACACAGAATAATCCAGCATATTACATTTGTAAATGTCTCTTTTCAGGTTTGATTTTTCAGTGCTCAAAGCCGCAGATGTCGGTTGGACTAGCCTTGTACAATGTCATCTCTGACCTACAATTTTACAACATCACTATAGTGAATGAAGTGGCCCTGGTCCAGGCAAATAATTTGAAAGCCATATTGACTGGGATTATCCTCCCTGGCCATACATGAACGCATACATAGGCCTACATGCCCCGTCCTGTAGATGTTATTGCTTTGCCAAGAATAATTCCACACCTTTAGGTTCACGGGACATCACATGCTATAATTCCCTTCATCTAAAAGTGAGCTGGAGAATTCTGTGAGAGAATTTTCTGTTTAACTGTCAGACTGCAGATTTGTTGACCTGGTTTATGGTAAATATCTCTATAACTACTGGGCCAAAGTGTAATGTCTTCTCTATCCAACACCAAAATATCCAAAAGTAATATTTTGTCTTCACAATAGCTTCAGAAAGTGGTACCATTATATATAAAGGCTTCTGCTATCCATGTGAAATTATGACATCATCAATTATACCTATTATATCTATCACCATGGAGACAAACAAGTGGCACCACCAGACCAAGTTACATGTCAGATTTGTGGAGAGGTGACTTTGTGCACACAATATAAATGTTTTTAAAGGTATTTGTTTAGAAATGAAAGCATAATACATTTTACTTATATGTTTTTCAGGACACTCAAAGACACTTTATTAAATATTATAACAGTCAAAAGAGCAATAAGCAAATAATGAGACCTGTATGCTAGATATTTAATGCATCCTGAAGCGCAGTAACAAATTAATCTGCCTTCATGTGTGATTTTGAATGACTGATTTCAAATAGCCTGATCCTGTATCATGTCAACAGACAGCATACGTACATGTCTCCACACAAACAGTATAGTAGCCATAATGGATAGTGGCATAATCAATAAAATAGCAGTAAAATGTAAAATGACAACTTAATAGAACTTCTTTCACCTGAAGTTAAATCTATACAGTAGCTATAAGCATTATAATAAATAAGACAACAAGTTAGCTGGTTCGAGTACCCATCATCATATAGTGTGTAGCTCTTCAAAGTTACCACTAGATGGCGCTGTTGCTTTGCATGTAGGCCTTTACTGGAGTGAAACGTGTCTTGTTTGCAAATAAACCAGTCACCACACACACAGTTTATTTTTGAGATGTTTATTCTTAAAAATGATGCAGGATCTTAAAATTGCTTTTACATGTGTCATTCTAAACAAGGGACCATCTCTTTCCATCTCACAACTGTCCCACATCAGCTATGGACAACTCATGCAGCCAGTGTAATATGCCATCTATGGTGATCGAATAATTTTAAAGCTTTGTCACACAAAAATTAAAAGCTGTAATGATTTGAATTTAAATATATTGATATGAATAATAATTGCATAGGATATAGCCATGCTGTACAACACACATACTTATAAAAGAATGTGAATGATTAGTACATATTTCTATAGTTATTTATACAGTGTTTCAATTCTCGACATTTAAGTGCATCTTATAATCTCTTTATATTAATATTAATCATACATAGTTATAGTGATTTTGATACATATACAGTACATACATAGAGTGGAGTAAACCTTAACTGAAGTTAGAGGGACATTGCAAAGCCCTTAAAATGTAATAAAATGGTATGCAGTAATGATAAAACTGTACATAGCTGTCATACCAAATTATGGCGGCATATCTTTTACATTGTTTTCATATTTCCTCTAAACACGCACTACATATTATCTACATGAAGCCACTCTCAAAAAAGAAAATTAAAAAATAGCCATTTCTGTATCAAACAGAAGCTCAACACCTTGCATGCATTATTTTAGTAAAAATGTAAATTAAGTGGATAAATAAATATATGTAGAAATGTCAACAACTGCATGCAGCAACAATGGTTATAATGATCAACACTTTCATAACGCTTTGACCTCATACCCATCACACGATAAACTCATAAGGCATGCCTCATTGAAACTCCTCCACAACTTTAAAGTGTAATGGCAGAAAAATCCTATTCACATCTGATATGGTCTTGCCTCTGGTTTACCTTCATGTGGTCAATACATACAGTATGAAACCTGCAAAACAGAGGGAAGGGAAGGAAGGCATTAGTTGTTAATCACTATTTCATCTTTGCATTGTTTTTCTCCTTACGATCTCTTGTGTGTAGCTGAATGATATATTTGTACCTGACACTAGTCTCTGAATTTATTATTACCATTTATATTTTTGCTGTATGTTATTATAAAATTATATTCTTATTGTTTTTAGTGCTGCACAATTTTGGAGAAAAAAATTTTGTCAATTTTCTGACAATTTGCAATTACATCTGTAGGATTTTATGTTATTTTATGCGTGCATTCCAGGATTATTAACATTTAAGAAAAGGCTGAAATATGACATGTTAAAAGGGCCTGTATGAGTGAAAAACATGCTTTAGAATGAACTGTTTGACCCTCACTCACTCTGATGATGAACCAAAGAAGCAAATGTCTAAGATGGGCCTGTAAAAATGTATAGGCATTTATTCTGAACAACACAGTGCATTGTGTGGAGCAACTTTCTCAGAGCAGAAACTGTCACATTTTTATACAGCGCTTTTTCACTTTCAAGGCACTTGAAGCAACTTATATCAAGGAATTAATCACCCATTCACACACACACATTCATACACCAGTGTACATAGAAAAGCATCTTGCCAAGTACACAACGAAAGCATTTATCTATGGGAGCTGGTATCACACCGCCAACCAGTGGGTCAGTGTGGCGGGGCTCTATTAAAAACTCAGGCAAGATCGAAGTTCCAAGTGCAGGTGTTTTTTTGTGCCAGTGTGCAAAGTGCAAAAAGATCCCAAAAACAGTGCAAAAATATTTACAGTGAGCAAAAATGTCCAAAAGTATTTACAACAAAGAAACTGGGTCGAGTTCAACGTTAACTGTCCCCTCCTTGTACAGCACAACGATGTTACCTGCTCTGTAACCGGTGGCAACCTCATTGACAGCCAGAAACGGCTCCCCTTTATAACCCCGACTCCTCCCACTGATCAACATATGAAAATCACTGTACAATTAAACAATTTCACAATAAACCTACCTTGTCTATTTTACATTAAGCACACAGTAATAATCTTCATTAAATGTCAAAAATAATAGCTTAATAACGTGTAGAAAATCATATTACATAACGCGTGTCACATGGTCAGCACCACGGCGCGAACAGCGCCTAATTCAACAGGAAATAGTGGCTCGGGTTGGCAGAGGTGCGCCGCGTCGGAGGAGAGGGAGACGGTGTCATCGGACAGGTAGAAGCTGCATGTATGAAAAAGTATTCTAACACGCTCAAGAGTGCACCCTTGGCGAATTAGTAGTGGAGGAAAGAGGGCGTTAAGAGCGAATACGGCGCGGATGCATGAAACAGCGAGGAAACGGGGAGTGAACTCGTGTGTGCGGGATGAATCAGCGTGTGTGTGCACGGGCACGTCACTGCAGGCCGCGGTTACTTGTAGGGGGAAAACACCACCGAAAATCATAGACGGACTGGCTCCGTCACAGACAGTTTATTGATCTCTTTCTCTGACCATTCAACAAATAATGTTCATATCGAGAGTGGGATTTGAACCACCAACCTTAGGATCAGTGGACAACCACAAACACTGATTGAGCTATTGTCACGCAGAACAATAGAAATTCAGGTACAGTCCCTGTAAACTAGGTTCCAAACATTAATTAAACTAGGATGAACTTGCCTGTGGTTGATAAAGATTCTTTTAGTACCACCTCTAAGAGCCTCTCCTTCTGAGAAGTGTTCCCTTATGAGAAGGAGTGAGTTGGAGTGATCTGTGAGTTAATTTTAGTGAGTTCTTGTCCTTATTTTTGCATGGCTGATCTCAAAGTAATATATGGCCAAGTGCTTGTAATCCATTCAGTATTTATCATTAGGTTGGCAGTTCTTCAGCTCTGAATAATTGAATACTTACTCAGCAGAGAGGCTGCCTAGTTTGTATTCCTCTGACGCAGATTCTTGTCTTTGTGGTTGTTGGTAGAGTTGGTTTTCCTTTTAACAAGAAGCAAAAAACATGAATCAGACTCAAATACAAGTTTGAATATGATAAATCACTGCAGTTATCTTCTTGCTGCTAAAAGGGCTGTTGAAAAGTCATAGGACTCAGAGAACAGTGCCCTCTAAACAGTGGCGCTTCATAAAGTGTCTATTCCAATAGTGCCAATGGGAATATTAGTTTATAGGTAAATGCTCTACATATCCAACTCGCAGGTATAGTATAACATAATTGATCCAATGCAGAACCCAGTTACGAGTTTGCAGCAGCCTAAGATTTCATTGTGGGGTAAGGTTCTTGTAGTGTAATGTAAATTTAAAGGGAAAATGTAATCTAAATTTGACCCACAATTTTGAGTTCAATAGACATGGGAGGGAAGACAAGGTGAGTCTACAAAATATCATGTAGTATGGTAAACTAACATTCAAACATAAGAGGAAGATGAGCTTTGTACTTACATTGGTCCAGCTATGTCGTCATCTGAAGCATTAAAGGGGAAAATGACACGTGAGGAACAAATAGATGTGAAAAGCATTGTAGATGTGACCTTATTTGCTTTGTTAAGGGACTGGGTCATCATAAGCAAAATATCAAAATGGAACTTACTAAAATTTTGTTGAATATTAATGGACTTCCTGGACACATTTTCATTACTTGTTCAAAATATGAGGAAATGTATTAAAATGCTTAAAGGTACACTGCGCTAATTTTCTGGCGGAGGGTTCGCCATTTGCTTGTCTCCATGGAGATTTTATTAATTTCCTTAGAATGTTCCACGGCGTGACATTAAACACATCCAGCTAGCATTTGTTCATTACAGGTGTTTCTATTACTCAAAAATACAATAATTCTTTCTGTGAACAGGGGCGCCGCTCCACAGATCTGAATTGTAGCGTAGTGCTGTAACCTGCTAGTCTCCCTTGTTAGGTATAGTTAGGTTTAATCTATACTGTGGGACATTCTAGACAAAGCAATAACATTTCCATGGAGACAGCAGGTGGGAAACCCTCCACTAGAAATGTTATACAGTGCACCTTTTTTTTACCGTATTATGTAGCCGATTAACCAAGGACTGACTTAAATACTTTTCCCACGGCCCAAATTATTGTCATGTAATCTTATGACAAATGGTCAAACAAATGCATTCATATGATCACCACATCAAAAAATATAAAAATATTAAAAATTTCTCTCATGCACCAACAAACAGTTAAGGCATTATCAGAACCAGCTTTGTCAATACCTCTCCAGCGCAGAGAAAGATGGAGATCAATACACACAATACTATTAAGTCCTTACAATCATTTGCATGCTGCATCACTCATACTTCATTTTAATGCAAAAATATGCACGTTGAAATGAAACCTCAAAGCAAAAAAAGGATTTGAAATGAGCACCGCTGTTTTAAGTACAGAGGCGTGTAGTCGTTGTGCAGTGAACTGGAGGCAAATGAACTCCTATTGAAATTCATAAGACATGCACAGTCTCACACTTACCGGAAACACAGTTTGGGTTATGCAATTTGGGAAAAGGGGGACATTGAAAAACATTACAACAATTTTGAAATATTCATCATCCAAAGCTGCGATAATGGCAACAAAGCTAAATTATTAACATTTTGTGCAAGTATTTGAAAGCATAGCGGTCATGTGTGGAAGATTTTTTTGCAGTCACTTTGCTGTTTATTCCACCATATTGTAATCATTATGAACATGTAATCAACCATAATGCAAATATGTAATTTTATATAGAAGCACAGATGTTAAGAGACAGAAAGGTTCAGTTGGGTGGTCTAATTAGCATGTGCCAACATTGCAATTCTGTTTGAGGCTAGAATGTCAACCAAAAGACCATGAATGCATATTTTATGATTATTCACATTTTTAACAATCCCCTACCGTGATGTATGCACTTGAGGTGTCAGCTTTGTTTTGAAAATGAACACATGATTTCAAGGAAGCATCCTCAGTATACAGAATATAACGGTAACTAATGACAAGTAGTTAAGCTTATGGGTGCTCAGGGACAGTTCTAAATCCCAATAAAGGCATAAATAATGGAGGGTTGTCTTCTTCCACAACACCGCAGTATCATATTCCTCATGAATTTTAAAGGGGAGAAACCGTCCTGACAAGGTGTGACCGGCTGTGTGTGCGACTGGTCGATCCCTCTGGACTGAATTATTGAATGGAGGAACGGTGCAGTGTCAGGTGACATTTTGAACAGCATCAGACAGGGACAAGGAAAAGTGCCCCCGTAAATGCCCTACGTAACAATACAACATTACACGCCTTTGGATTAAAGGTCTCAGGTCAGACGTATGTTGCTATACATTGTATGAATTAACTAAATAATAAATAAGCATACTCTGACTTCTATGAAAGACACAATCATAAATGTTATAAGAATTAAAAATACAACGTATTATCTTCCTCTAAACCCCATGTCTGATAGTCAGACAATGTTATACTGTAATAAGTGAACTTTTTTCCTGGGGCCATTTGTGTTACCAGGATACACTACAGTGAACTTAATTTAGCCATATCTGATGAAACATTGTTAGTTCAAAATTGTTCTCTCTGAGTTTGGGATCACCAGAAATAAAAACTGTCTTACAATGTCCTAGCTTTGAACTGGCCATTAGTCATTAGTTCCCATTTATATTAGGAGTTGCCAAAGAAAATATGATCATTCTCTTGGGCATATTCTGAACTGGAAACATTTTGAACCATTGGCATTCATCATCTTAAGTTGCCTCTTTTTGATTTTAAATGACGTGTATGTGTCTAGAATAATAGATTCTCTTGTCGATTGTCTATTCGAGGATAGTACTTTGAGCACTCATTGAACCATATTAGCATAAATTCTTATATATAATGTGGTCTTACCGTCTTGTAAATCCTCAGGCTTCTTGCGCTTCTCATATACCACAATGATGATGACCAGAATGATGATCTCGATGAGCACTCCCAGTAATGGCCACAAGGGGGCAAGATGACTGCGGACCCTCAGGATGGACTTCTCTTCATGGGTGCCAATGATGTTGGTGGCATTGCACTGGTATTCACCAGGGTCTGCATTAATGTCCAAATTTTCAATGAGCAGCTCTGTGTAGTTGTCCCGGCTGTTAATGAAGAAACGTCCGCTCGAGTTGTCAAGCTCCTGTTGTGGAGTAAGATATACACAATTTCAACAAAAACTAACAGTTGCAAAATGTAATAGGTAGCAATTGACTTAAAAGTGCGCTGTGTAATTATTTAGGTCAGGGGTCCATTACATGCTTGTTTCTATTGATATTTCACTGCTCTGCCTGGAATGTTCCACAGTATGACATTAAACATTTCGACTTAACAATAATACATTTTATTTTTATAGTGCTTTTCAAGACACATATACACAAATAATACAGTAAAGATGAAAAAAAAGTGAATCATACTGATAAAAGTTAAACCTCAAAGGCTATTCTAAATAGATGAGTCTTGAGAGTTTTCTTGAAGGTGGTGAGGTCAGTGCAGTCACGGAGTTTGGCAGAGATAGAGAGCTCCAGAGGGTGGGGGCTGTATTGAAGAAGGCTCTGTCTCTGGTGGTTCGGATGACACCACAACATTCCATAGGTCAGTCAGTATTAATTAATAGCTATAATAAATATTGTTAAATGCTAAATTATGTTGTAATACAGTGAGTTACTGGGTTTAGTCACTAATTGAAAATATCAGGTTCAACACAGTTGTGTTTTTTGGACATACGTTTTGGATATTTCATGGCAAAGTACTATATAATTAACAGGAAAAACTGGCCCTTGCCACTCATGTGGGAGTAGGATATTATCACCTTCTACAATCTGAAAACTACAAATTGGAGTAATCTAATCTGGGGTGATGAAGGAGTGAATCAGGGTACCAGCAGCAGAGGTGCAGCATTCAGGGGTGAATTTGACTGAAGTGTTGTTCAAATGTGAAATTGGTGTCAAAGAGAAAACCAAGGTTGCAGATGACTGGGAATGGAGAAAGTGTGGTGTGGTCAAAGTTTAATTGGAAATTTTGGGTGGATTTGGAAGTGTTTTTGGGGCCAGTTATGATTATATCGGTTCTGTCACAGTTGAGTTTGAGAAAGTTTTGCTAGAGTTTTGATTTCAGACAGACAGGACGTGGCATCTTTTCCAAAAGTAGTAAGATGGTAAGAGCAATGTAACTAACAAATCAGTATCTCAGTGTATGAAAAAAAAGCCAACTTGTAACATCCAGGTACGGAGAGGCAGCGCCCGAGCGCCTGTGTTATGAGGCAGCTTTATGAGGCAGTTGAACTGCCCCATAATTTAAATTTATTAAATTACAGGTGGTTTTATAGCTCAAAAATGCCTAGCAAAACAGGCATTCTGAATGTGAGTGGGATTACCTCTCCACAGATCAGACCTATAATTTGACCTGGTTTGGTTTCCATGAAGATAAAGTCTTAATGCTATACTGTGAAACATTCCAGACAAAGGAATAACATCTGGAGAAAAGCATTTGGCGGACCCTCCCTGTACCTTTAATGCTTGGACTTCTTTTTTATGTAAAAATTTTAATAATATAGTATTTTTTATTATTATTTGCAAATTATTTATATGTATGAATATTTAAGTGTACTCTTTGTTTTTGTTTTTTTTCCACAATACATTTTTACTTATTAAAGCAAATTACTACTCACCTATAAGTTCAACACATATTTGTCAACACTAAATGAGTGGACGTACCCTGAAAAAGCCATTGTCAAATTTGCGCCAGGTCCAGACAGGATGAGGATATCCCACAGATTTACAGTAGAGGACAGCACGCTGGCCCTCGTTTCTATTCTCACTGCGTTTGTGACCATGGATCTCAGGAGCAGCTACAAGAATACCATGAAAGATTCAAGATTATGTTTTGGTAAAAAAAAAATTAAAAAAAATACAGAGACGTATTTTAATTCTATAGGGTATTATTTGCTAACACATAACATATTTGGATCACCATGTTACCTTTTATTGTTTTGAAATTGCAACATTTTCCAGAGAGATTATAACATGCATGAACGACATCTAAAACCTCTTCAGGCATGTTTCTGATGTGGGAACAATGTTATAACATTATAGTAGAAAGCTCCAAAAAGTCAACTTTGTGTAATGCCCCCTCTTTAAACAGCCTATTTGCAACATTTTCAATATGGTCTTTTGTATTTTTTTGTTTTGTAGTACTTTATTTTTGTAGTACTCCTCTGCATGTCATCTATACTTTCAGGAGCAGTGGGCAGCACAGGGGGCACCTGGGGGTGCCCAGGGACCCCTCTCCATCTCTTGTTGCTAGGCTTGGTCAGTACCACCTTTGCTGGAGAATTTTACCTATGGTTCATGTTTTGGGTTGATGGGGGAAACCAGAGTGTTTGGAGGAAACCCACCCGGACACAGGGAGAACATGCAAATTCCACACAGAAAAGACCCAGCGACACAGGGATTGAACCCAGAACCTTCTTGCTGTGTTAACCACTCAGCCACCATGCCAGCTGTCATCTTACCAGAGAGTAATTAAGTAGCCTGTATCAGACTGACCTTCGGATGCAATCTAAGCATTTATTTTGCTGTATATTGACAGACAATGAATGCACATAGAATACTAAAACATCTAGAGCAGAACAATCAATATTTTGCAAAGAGGTTGTTATTCATTCATTTTAATATGATGTGCAAAGAAAAAGGACAAAACAACTAGAAAATAAACTAATAATTAATTATACCGAATTCTTCAACACTCAGTTTAGATTAAAATTTTTACTTTATTTTTTATTATTTTTGCCAATGTGGACCAGTTTGACATTTGAAACACTAACCACACCTAATTTACTTGTACAGCTATGTGTGTTAGAGCAGAAAAGGCTGTGACCAGATTTTACAGTTGAGACATAATCCCTGACCATCAAACAAACAAGACACCATCTGCTGCCACAGAGCTGGGCCGAGGTTTGATTGAGGTGTCAAGGGCGTCTAAAATCATAGGACCTCACACGGCAGAGTGCAACTGCTCAAGGGCATGAGGGACATTTTTATTGGTGGCACCTCTAATGTAGCCTTTGGAACTGACAGTGACAACAAGCTCAAAGCATATGAATCAACACCTACATTTTATTTCAATGGTGGCATTCGCGGGAGGGGCGCTCTCAAAAGTGAAGACGCACATGTAGACCCCAGCATCGTCCGATCTTGGTTTGGCCAGTCTGAAAGGAATGTTATCTCATCAGAAATCTATTTGCTTCCATGTGGGTGATGAGGCAGAACATTATGACCATCTGTCTACTATACGGGCTTTGTAATCTACTCAGTTTTTCATGCACGAAAACTGAAATGTGTTGTGACATCTCTCTAATGGGATCAATATGGATTTGCAATTTGAGCCACAGTAGCTCCTCTGTTTGGTAAGAATACACAGACCACCCTTTGTAGCTCATGTTCTTTTGTACACTAAAGGTGCATTCTGTCACTTTTCTGATGGAGGGTCCGTCAAATGCTATTCTCCATGGAGATGTTATTGCTTTGTCTGGAATGTTTCACAGTATGGTATAAACCTTTCTATCTTCATGGAGACTTAACCAGACTAAGTTGCAGGTCTGATCTGTGGAGAGGTGACCCCGCTCACAGTCAGACATCCTGTTTTTCTATTACCACCTGTAATTGAATAAATGTAAGGTAGAGCTGTTTAATGCCCTGATGTGGAGTATTCCAGGCAGAGCAATGACATATTCAGACACAAGCATTTGACGGACCCCCAACCAAAAAGTTACATAGTGCACCTTTTAACTTCTTGGGCTCCTTTTTGTTTCAGCTGTTGGTGGTGACATGTCATATATCAGTGAAACGGGGCAAATGTCCTGCTGTATTGTCTTTATAAAGAGCCCAAGAAGTGCAAAACTTGCAAAACTTCCTATTTCTTATGTCCTCCAGTTTTGCTTTTGTTTTTTTAGGAGGTTTTTAAGAAGGCTAAAACTATTTAAAACCCAACTGCTAACCCTTAATTAAATATTTACTAAGCCTGAATCATTCTTTGAAAACTCTCTTGTTCGATTAAGGCTGTGAAGTAATCATTCATTTTATTTAATTTTACACAGTGTAGTTAGAACTGTGGCATTCTTTTTCATTACAATACATTCTTCTTCAACATAAAACAAATAAATGTACCTTATACAGGAGCAATTATGACCATATAATCAACTGTTTAATTCACTTGACCTGTGAGTGGTCATAATGTTATGGCTAATCCCTGTGTACATCTCCACTTCTCTTACTTGTACTCTGTGTTTTTGTTGGAGGTGCGCGTCTCGGGGATCTCCTCTCCATTTTTCATCCAGAAGCTCTCGACGTGTGCACTGTGGGCGCTGGTCAGGTTACACTGCAGTGAGAACGGTGGGCTGTGACTGTCCATTGGAAGAATAACGGGCTCAGAAGCGGCGATAGATGGCTCTGTGAGGAGAAAAAAATGCATCAGCATGACAGCAGAGATTTTAAAGAGAATGATGAGGAGAGGTGTGGCACAGGCTCATCCTATATACCATATATATATATATATATATATATATATATATATATATATATATATATATATATATATATATATCACTACCAAGGACAATTTCAGCATGATAGTGATAGAACACCATGTTATATACTGCGCTAAGACTGCATGATTTTTGGAAGATTATATAATTGCATTTTTTCTGTTTGTCTGTTGTATGTTTAAAAAGTATGATTTTGTTCAGAGCTCACATTGTGAACAACTCCAGGATGATAAACACTTGAGAGAAGACTGAAATAAGGACTGATTTTAATTCGATGATGTGATATACACTACCAGTCAAAAGTCTCTCTTAATCCATGCTATTTTTTTTTTAATATATGGTTACTACGTTCTACATTTTATATACATACAAAAGACCATCAAATATATGAAGTAAGATGTAAGATATATGGGCTTTTCTTTTTTGTAGTAAAGAGTGGCAAAGGGTGGCTACTTTGAATATTTGAATATAAAGTATATATATTAAAACATTTCTTCTTTGCTACATAATTCCATACATCTTGCCTTCATATATTTGATGTCTTTCATATGCATCTAAAATGTAGAAAGTAGAAAAAACTTGACTGGTAGTAGCACAGCATTTTTAAGAGGAATTAGTGATCATTTTAATCATGCTTTTTAATTATTACTTTTGTACTGTTTTGTAGCTTGGAATGAAAGTTAAAGACTAAGATAAATTATTCTCATCTAGAATATAGGCTATGTGAATTGCACTACAGTAAAAACAACTTGCTTGCTGACACTGTACCATGCAGAACTGAATGGTTAATGCTCAGGTCAGCAACTGTTGGAACATTTTTTGAAGCCTTATTATGAGCAACGGTTAAATGAAGTATGAAAACTGTATAACAAGCATTCAAAAGTAAACACTAGGTAGTATGCTAACATAGACAAATCTGTGCCTGTTTTGCTGTTATAATTTTTTAAGCTTATAATACATTTGTTTAGAATTTAGCATCCAACAGATTTCTCTGTGTAGTTCTGATGCGTTTCATGTGGGCTCCTTGTAGGCTTTTAATAACAACTCTATATTTAACTTTAGACTTCATTTAACACAGACTGTTTCTTGTCTGTAATAACAACTCACATTTAAAACCAGATTAACAAAGTAAGTAAAGCCATAACACAAAGGAGAGGGGAAGAGGGTATGCTGAGCAAGACAGGGGATTTGCAAGACAAACGGATAAGGATAAAAATGTTTAAAAAGAGATTACAACTACAGGGTACACAGAGGGGACACGAGGTAATCTTATTTTACAATGAGGGACTGTACAATAATAAGAAAAAATAAATTAATAATAATAATAACAGAAAATATTTATTTTCTTACTGTGGCAATAATCATATCTTATTATTAAAATGTGTAAAGAAATAGTAGTAAGTAAGTAACAGGTGAGATAAATGTCTTTACAGTCCTATCAAATGTCATTACAGTAATTCAACATTTGACATATAATTAGTTTCTTGCCAGTATAGAACCCCAGTGTCTGGGTTTAGGCTTTCTGTTATATGGCTCCATTTTGAGGATGGTTGACCATTTAAAATAATATATAATATTTAGTTTTGAATTATTAATTGCCATGGCAACAGTTCTAACTTCTGTATAATTTTTTACTATAATATATTTAATACTTATATGAATTTGGTAATAATAATAATAAGATACTTTCCATTAATATATAGACCCACAGGAAACAACTTTATTTACTATTCTAAGTTTTATTGCTGTACATAGATGAAGAGGTTTAGGGTTTCATTGGGATCACACTGGAGGAATTTTTGTGTATTGGGAGTAGTTCTAACTCTACAGCGCCCACTCACTCTGCAGCACTGTGACAGTGGCCTGTGCTCGGACCCAGGTGTTGGCTGGATTTTGGTGCAGGTTATTTCGCCGAGGATCATTGCTGGCTCTACATTCATATATCCCAGCATCGTCCAGTGTTAGGCGAGACACACCCAGGGCACTGACTGCATTGACCCCATAGGCTGTCCCAATAGAGACACGCCTTTTACGTGCACCGTCCCACAGCTGTCTGAAGGAGTCGAGGCGGTTGGTTTCAGAGTACCACCACTGGATTTCAGGAGTGGGGTTTCCGATAACCTCGCAGTACAGTTCAAAGGCATCACCAGTGAGCTTGGTTTCGGACAGAGGGGACTTCACAAAACCAGCTGATGGGCAAAAGAGGCGGCATGCAAAACAGAAGAGATACAGAAACAAATGAAAGCATGCAAGAAGGAAAAAATTATCAGAAAGAATAGAAGAAAGGCAGTGAAAATAAGCATAAAAAAAACTGGAATGGTTAGCAAGCATATTATTATTTATTTAAATTTTTTCGGTCTGGAATGACATATTTGTCCGTCATCTGCTTCTGAGAATGTCATAATTACTTCTTAATTTCATAAAGGTTTTTGCAAAGGACAGAACCAGCAGATTCCAACTATTTAGCATGTGACAATATTAAAGCTAGGGCAATAAGGCTTTAATTAATTTCATAAACACAAAGAAAATCGGCCAATCTGCTCTAACCCATATTCTTTTACAGACTGGATTGGCTGTAGACCTTTTTTAATGAGACTCAAGATGATCAGTGATTTTTTGGAAACAACTGGAGCTCAATAAAAAGATTATTTAAACAGCCTTAACTAATATACAGGTATATACTTCTAACATAATGCCTGTGGCAAGGTTAATACCATACTGTGGAACATTCAAAGCAAATAAATTACATCTGCATGGAGACAAGCAGGTGGTGGAACTGCCATCAGCAAAGTTACATAGTCCACCTTTAGCACAAAATGCATTCTAATGCCATGAGATAATTGTCGTAAACGATGGAGCAGGGGCCATGTTGAGAGGAGAGGGGACCTTCATTATTACTGCTATTCCTGGGAAGATTTAATTCAAATCAACTGGGACACCCTGCCAGACGCTTGGTTTTGTTCAATTAATGACATTAGACATTTTGCATGCGTTCAGTTTGAAAGTCCTCAGTATGACCTTGCCGTCTTGAGTAAGTATTTTAGGGGTGATAAAACATAATACAACAGCATTAGCCCCACTTAGATAAGATTTTTTTAAACTTACTATAAAATTGATCATATGTCAAATAAAGGTCTCAACAAATATCTAATCTGCTTGGTTTGTCTTACAGTTGCACGCAGCAACAATGGACTATTCTACCTGCACACAGAAGGCAATAGTCATAACTTGTTTCTCTGGTCTATAGGCAGTGTGTAGTTAGTGTGCATGAGATGGAGAGGAGATTTATAGCAGGTCGCTGGGGAACGTGTGGGCGCATGTTGATAGACCCCCACCGTTTCCATAGAAGCACTCTACGGCAACAAACCAGGAAGTGGAGAGGACACAGCCAGCCCACCATCACCAGACCACTGTAAGACCATTTCAAGACAGATGACCGCATTTACTGCAGGGGTGACATCACAATTAGATCATTAGGAGATGGTCGCATGTGGCTTCCCTTCTCATCTATGTTTGCTTAGAGCTTATAAACAATCTTGATTTTGTTGTTATTCTTGTACACTTCATATTGCCTTAAGAAATGTACACTAAACTATCATCACTAGGCGTGTCACAATAACACATTTTGAAGCATGATATATTACTACAGAGAAATATTGCAATAAACGATCATACTGAAACTACTTTATGCCCCTGACACAAAGCAGGATAATCCCATAAAACCATTTAAAAAAAAAGACTGCTTCATTAAAAGGAGCAGCAAATAAATAACAGAATGAAATTAGCCCTAGAAGTTATTTATTCAACCCTCTACAGCTCAAATCTGTTTTACAAAAAAACTCACCACTTTTGCAAAGAAATTGTAAACACGATAAATACTGAGCCCCAAAAAATATTGTTCCAACTTTCATATACTGAATGTTAAATTGATGTAGTAATTATCGTGACAGACCTAATCCTCACTCAGAAGCAATATCACTTTGCATTTAAAACACATTATGTGACATCAAAGTATAATTTCTTCTTCAGCCTCAGGCTCTTCACTATCCTTTATATCCACTGTGAATCAACCACTTCCTTCTGACCATATCCTTTGCATCTCCTCCTCTCGCATGAATTAACTGTCCTCCTCTAGGCCTCTGGCAGCTTTATCATCCTTCTGTCAATAGATTCACTATATACTTATGGAGCTCAGCAGTGACTGCCCACTACTTCCGGAAATAAATATCACATTATTTTTATTTTTTCACTTTTTTTTGTCAGGCGATTACTTTTGTGCTATTGCACATTGTAACTAAAGCTTGAAATATGGTGAATAAGAATATTTACAAGTGTATTATTATTATTATTGACTTCATTTGATTTAATAATGCCAATGCCTTTGTGATAAAAGGTCTATTGGCAAGTGTTTTAGACTCTGTATACAGTAGTTCAGGCAACTAGTTACAGTTATTCCAATTAAGACCTATAGAGATGCATCAGTCCAATATTTGTATAGAATTTGGGTCTAATCCTGTACAATCCAAAAAGATTGTGGCTATTCCTGTTCATGTACAACGTTAGAACTAAACCAATCTCAAAATCACAGAGAAGGATTTCCTCACATTGCATTAAGTAATAACCTAAATTAGGAACAAATGTACTTTACTTAAATGCTGAAAGCCCAAATTTTTGTTTGTTTGTGATGGCTTAAATGGGCTGGATGTGTCAGATTTGCAGAGGCCTGACACATGCGGCTCATGTTTGGTAGGTGCAGGCAGGTGCAGGCAGGGGTCTTGTTGGCAGGAGCACTGAACTCAAAGCCCCCAGGAGCCAACAGTTTAGCAGTCCCATTATCCAAACAACACAGGCTAATGTTTGACCTTGTTTGAAAGCTGAATGGTAAAATACTGCATTCCCAACAAATGGACTAAAACATCAACTCATATATCTCATTACACACAACATTACAGCTGATTCTGAAGCAGCACATTCAGATTTGTTTTGGCTACATTATAAATCAATAAAGAAATGCCTGTGTTTATTTCAAAATTACCAATTAATGCTATTTTATCATTGATCGCTGCTGATCGCTCCCTGGGCCACTCACCTTCTTTTAGAGACAAACAAAAGTTATGTTTGTTACCTCCGCCAAGGAGGTTATGTTTTTGCCGGCGTTTGTCTGTTTGTTTGTTTGTTTGTTTGTTTGTCTGTTAGCAACATAACTCAAAACGTTATGGACCGATTTTGATGAAATCTTCAGGATTTGTTGCAAATGTGAAAAGGAAGAACTGATTTCATTTTGGGGGTGATCCGGAAGAAATCCTGGATTCTGGATCACTTTGAAATTTTAGTTAACATTGTGGTAAATGGGGCCAAAAATTTTATTTCTCAATATCTCGGTTAATTATTGACCAAACCCCATGAAATTTGACTCAGGGATGGACAATGGGATCCTCTTTCATATTCCAAAGGCTGATCCGGATCTGATCCAGAAGACTTTATCGCAATTTATATTAAAAATGGGGGTAGTCCTTGGCGGAGGTCTGCGCTCTCTGAGTGCTTTTCTAGTTTTTTTTTTTTTTGTTTTTTTTTGTAATTTTATATATATTCTATATTTTTGTGTCTTTTATTATTATGCATTTCTAATTGTAATTATTTTAATTGTTTTATTTTGACAGATGTTAGTGATGTTGGCAACATCAGTGGCCAAAATGGCATCTATTAAGGCTAAAGATTGTACAAGCTACAATAAAGATATAAAAAAATAAAGATCAGTAAATAGAACTGTTTATTGACTGCACGAGAAGGTGGTGTAATTAGAAGTACAGTGTTTAGTTTCTGTATCAAGCTTACCTGACAAATGCATGAACTTCAGAATCAGATCTTATCTTATGCATTAGCAAAGACTGTATGCCAGATTCCCTTTCCCGAGAGTACATAATGACAAATAGGATCTAAAATGTAAAATACAGTTTGTCACTAAAAGACAGAAGTATAAAACTTGACTTCACTGCCACATGTCATTGGGTCCAATACAGAGCTTATTACAATTGTTACACTAAAAATAGCAAACTCCATTTTCAGCTAATTATCCCAGTCCAATTGGGTAAATGACAGTTCGGCACAGTGCCGAATGGAGGGCTTCACTTCAAATGTTTTGGGCGACTTCATTAGTCAAAGCACAAACAACTGTGGAGAAGGCGGTCAATACGGGTATTATTTGCAGTAAAGATTGTAACAGCAGAGTCCAACTGTTTGCGGCCTGATATATCTCTTATTGACAAATGCTAAATGAATCTTCACCAACACAACATGCATTTTGGAGGATTACGCTGCTCACTGAATACTATAATGCACAATACAACAGATGGTGGAAATTTTGAGATAATTTAATCATTAAGGCAAGCTATATTCTATGTTGGATTTTCCTCATTGAGCTTGTAATTTGCACATTTATTTGACAAATGTCTGTAATGGTGCCCAGTTTGTTGGCAGGTTAAATAGCAAACTCAAAACAAAAACAAAACTATCCTGCAATTGTTTAATACTCACTTTAAATAAACGTTTAGCTAAATAAAATAAATATTGCAATAACACAAAGGTCTACATCTAACACAAATGTACTGTTTTGTTTAGTTGTTTATGTTGTTTTCCTGTTTGGTAGTTTTTTTGGCCAGTTTTTTTTCTGTTTGGTTGCCCTGTTTTGGTATTGGTCTAGTCTCTGTTACTAGTCTCTTTTTCAGACTAGAAATATTAAGAATGCTCAAACAGTTAAAAACAGCTACCGCCAAAGCAGTGCTCTCAAAATAAAAATAGAGCTTCCTGACAGATCTAAACTTATCTATGAGCTTTTTTGTTTGTTTTTTATCATTGGAGCAGCATTTGAATTGGCACTGGCCAAAGCAAATTCTACCAAGAAAGAATTGTAAAATTGTAAGCGACCTCGTCCTGTTTCTAAATCAAATACCAGATGGCCCAATTTTGCATTTTGGCTTTTCTATTCATGGGTAGGCAAGGCTAATTACAAATTTCTAAGCTTTCTGTAGCTTTTATTGCCTACCTCTTTATGCGCTTGCAACATTTGCTGTTTTTTTGTGTGTGGAAATTCTAGGTCAATGTTATTGTTTGCTGGCATATTTTCATGGATTGTGTCATTCAGCAAGGCAATCACATCTTATTATACAGGGAATTTAGTGGATAACCTGCTAACCTTTCCAGTATACAAGCAAATATGCATATTTGAAGTAATTTTGACCATGGAAAAGTCAAATTGAAAGAACCAGTAGGCCAATGAGTTTATCTGACATGTTTTTGGTTAAAATTGCTTAAGCCTCCAAAAGTATTGATAATGATACTGGGCTTTATGTGGTTCAGTAGTAACATTTCTGGATGTGTGTCTTGCTTTGAAGCTCTTGACCTATCTGCTTTAGAAACGAGTGGGTGTACATTATATGACGGGATGTGTAATGCGTTCCTACACATAGTTAACATCAGGAGAGGCTAAAGCTACATAAATTCTCACCAGTTTTCACACCAAACACATGAAAAAGACAGAGAAAAAGAAAGCGATAGAGTTAGTTATGTATGCTCTGATAAGCACTGAGCTGGGACAGGGGGGTGCTACTGCCTCTCTGACGTGATGGTGGGGGTAAGATTTATGAGTGGAGGGGTCAATTGGACAAGTAGAACTGCAAAGAGGAATCAATGTCACTCCGCAGTGCCTGTGTATGAGAGTTGACCAATGTACTGTAGCAAGCAAGAGGACATTATAAAAGCCAGGGATCCCATAGTGCAGCATCTCTTCTCATCTCAGCACTAAAAATAGCAGCATGCCGCAAAATGGACCGGTGCTATTTACAGAGATCTACTTCTCCTTAGGTCCTCCATCTAATTACATGCATGCTCTGCTTTGTACAATTGACTGTAATGCAGGTGGAGAAATATAGGACTACCATCTCTAAACAGTGGACCAGTCTCTGTGGGTATAGCCTACACCAAATGTTGCTCACTTCTTCCTGGGGCATATCCTCACATAAAGCAAAACCAAGCGTGTCAACACCTTTGGTGAATCATCTGTGCCATTTTAGAGGATGACCATTTTTAAGCAAAATCCTTCAGTTTCAATCATTTAACCTCAAGCCAGTAGGAGAAGTTGCTGATTGCGCTCATCAGGTCTCGACTCAGTATTCAGCGCCACACTTCAAAGATCCAAAGGACATTTTAGGGACACTGCACGGGCCTCTATGTGGCCCACTTCACACTAACGAATACAGATTGTAGCTGATTAATCATTTATTGAATCTTCTTTTTATATGCGCAAAGAGCAAAACACCATCTCATTGCAACGTTTCAGCACCTCTTACGCAGGGATAAGCTAAAAAGACACGAACAAATTTGCGTTTGGTAGACTGGCAGTACATACCTCCACGTATAATCATTCAGAAAAATTGTCCTGTGTATGAAAACCCGGCGACATTCCGGTAAAGAACACCGCATTACGCATTGATAGGGGTTTAACGCAGCAACGGAGCAGTCTCACGCTATGATATCTGTAATGTATTTCTTACCGTTCTGGGAAGAAACATACTGCAGCATAAGGGATCCAAGTATCGCCAGCGAGAAGGACATGACTGCAGCTTTTCGCTTGCCAGGTACCATCTTCAGAGCAGCGGGAGGATTAATGGTAAAATGCCGGGCTAAGGTGACCTAGAGAGAGAGAGAGAGATGGTGGAGAGGATGTGAGGGGGTCGAGCAGGCACACAGGCTCCCAGCTCGGAGACGCAGGACGGAGGGACGGACGGGGGAAGTGTCGCTGGTAGGGTAGACTAGCGGAAGCCGACAGTACTGCCGCTGCTGCTCGGTACCTGCCGCTATGTGCCGTCCGCCCGGTGCAGCGAGGGAACCACCTTTTTCAGCGGTCCGTCTAATTCTAAATCCCGCGAGATCTTAAAGGATCTCAGATATTCTTTGAAGTTACATTTAGGTTTATGTTCATGTTATCTCATCATCCTAAAATAAAGTGTCTTTTTATGTCTACAATGTATGGACCAGCATTATTTCTACTTACATTTACAGACTATCTTACATCTGAAGTGAATATATATATATATATATATATATATATATATATATATATATATATATATATATATATATATATATATATATATATATATATATTTATTTATTTATTATTTTATTTTATTTTATTTATTTATTTATTTTTTTTTTAAAGCATCAAAAAGCATTTTATGAAGGACAGGGCTAATTTAGTCTCGACTAACTAATCCAGTTCTGTTAGACATTATCTCGGTTGTGCGTCAAGACCTATTTACCTTAACACCTCAACACACAGCGCTTTAGAAGGCGTGCTTTAATCCTATTTCTTTCACAATCTAAGCTATGTAGGTTAATAGTCGGTCTTTCATCTGTCTTATTTCTGAATGCAAACATCATCATACACATTTTCTGATAACAATGTGCTACGATAAAACAAAATATTTTATTTATGCCATCACCGACTCAGAGCTTTATTGGAGTAGGCTAATTCATGCACCATTTGCAACACCAGAGATTTTGTAACCATCCACATTTGTCAGTAAACATGCTTTAAGAAATCAGTTCTTATGTATAGGTAATATCAGCAGAGAATACGTGTCTATCAGGATTTTAGGGGAAAAGTTATTAACATGTCTACTTTTACAATTGATGTAAACATTCAAATATAATAAGAAAGAACAAATAGGCTTTATAAGGTGATGTGCCATGCTGAAGTAAAAGAGAGCAATGCTGCCATATAGTGGTTTATTTGTGAACAAAATGGATGGTGCAGAAAGGCATAAAAATATCACAGAGGTAATTAAACAGTATATTGCTTAAAAAAATACTATTTGATTAAATATAGTCATTCGTGTCATCATCCCTGTTTGACTTTGTTTCTCCTGAAAATCCTTCTCCACGCAGCCTTCCCCACATAGACACATGAGCATATGAAGAACAAACAGACACAGAGCAGAGCGCTGAGGACATCCAGAGAGTGGTAGACGATCCAGGACAGTGTGCCTGAGTGTGACTTGAGGTGAGGCGCTCCTTTGTGTCTCATCACAAACTCGATCCAAAACACAGCCTGGTCCATTGGGCTCAGGGGCTGGTCTTTGTGCAGCCGGGACAGCCTCCTCATGTTCTCTGTGTAGGACTCTTCATTTAGGACAGTGTTTAGAGCATCTCCCAGCACCTGTCTGTCCATCTCTGCAATGTCCACTATCACTGCCCCGCCCTTGGCTCGGATTCGTGACAGGTTTTCAGGCTGATCAAAGAATATAGGGACGCCTACAATTGGGACTCCATGGTAAATGGCCTCCTGAAGTCCATTGGTGCCCCCATGGGTCACAAACACTCTGGTTTTGGGATGTCCTAGTAGGTCATTCTGTGGAAACCACTTGACCAGTAGAGTGTTGTTGCCCAGATTAGCTGGCTTCTGCCCCAAATACCTCCATATGACCTTCTGGGGTAGCCGGGCGAAGGCTGCAGCGATCTCCTCAGTGATCTGTGGAGGGAGCTGAGACACTAATGTCCCCAAACTCATCAGTATTACGCCGTGATCACCTGAGCTCTGCACAAACTTCTCCAGGTCATTAGGAAGTGCTTTGGGAGGCTTGCACTGAAAACCACTCATATACACCACATTGGGCATCGTGGGGCGAGGGTATTCAAAAATAAAATCATTTCTCATCAGCCAAATATCAGCATCTGTGAAGAATGCAGAGTAATCTACATCAGGACCAAAGTACTTCTTCAGTATTGGTTTATAGACCGGCTGAGAGATAACTGACATTGTATATCTTCCTAGGACAGAACTAAGGCAGTTTTTCACTCTTTGAAGAAAGGTCATTTTGTCTGTCAGCTCTGTGGCAGTGAAGGGCACATAGGACAGAGGTGAAGGTGCGATGTCAAAGTGAGCCTCACCCTGAATAGTCCATCTGACATTATAAACCAAAGGAAGTTTGAGGTATTTAGCCAAGATTGTCCCTCCTCCATGACCTGGGTCAGTTAAAAACAAGTCATAGCGAGTGTCTCTGAGTTTCTGGATCATATCTTTGTCTTCAAGCATCTTAACAATGAGATCCCCAACCTGGTGATGGAAAATAGTGAACTGCTCCACCATTAAAGACCGGATCTCCATATCAGCCCACATACGAGACCAGAAAGATTTAGGATCTGTCTGTAGCTTTATCTTCAACTGCTGAGAAACAAATATTTCAAAACTCTCCTCAAAGCTGGTGGCTGGTACAGCGATGCATGTGTAGAAAGGAGAGTTCTCTTTGATGTACCAGCTCGGTGACATCCGCAGAACGACTATTTCATGACCTCTGGTGTGAAGAACTTCTATGATTTTCAACATGTTTATCCAATGACTGCCTTCCACTGGGAACACCAGGATCTTGCCTCCCCATGAATGGGACAGGTGCAGCAGCAGCAAAGAAAATGGGACCAATAAAGTCCTCATATTGACAATGCCTCCTTGACCTTTTGACCTTGAAAATAAAAAAAATTTAAAAAGTAACAGTTAGTCAAATAGGAAGTAGGAGTGTCTGTGGTTGTTGCAAATTTAATGTAAATTTTAGTTGGAAGTTGGAAAATATGTGTGACCCACCAAACTGTAATATTGTAGTAATAAGATAAAAACATTGCTTGTATAAAATGTATTTCTGTGTGCAAAGGCTTCTACACTATATTTACGCTAGATATGAGATACTGAGCAGCCACAAATCAAACTGCTTTATCTGACCCCTGCACATACTTTCATATAATGGATTAGGTTACTGAGGACGTCATGTGAATCTGTAACTTATTATCTATAAGACATGAAAAGAAGTAAGAACAAGGACTATGACAAGAAGCTATTAGTAATATATGTTTTATTTAAAGGTGTATTGTGTAGCTTTTCTGGTGGAGGGCCCATCTAATGCTTTTATCCATGATTAGGTCATTTCTTTGTCTGTAATGTTTCACAGTATAGTAAACCTTTCCCTCATAATGGAGACCAAACCGGGCCAAGTTTCACGTTAAATCTGTGAAGAGGCATCCCTGTGCACAGTCAGAATGCCTATTTTTGGGGTATTTCTGAGCTGTAAAACAACATGTAATTCAATAAATGTAAGGCACAGCTGCTTAATGTCATTGTGTGGAATAGTGCAGGCAGAGCAGTGATATATCCACAGAAACATGCAGGTGACAGACCCCCAACCAAAAAGTTACATAGCCCACCTTTAAGATATTGCTTAAATAACACTTCCAGCTGTAACCTTCTCCATATAGTTATATTTCTTCCCAGTTTACTATTTTTTTTACACGACTACATACAGTAATTTGGTCACAGTTTTGATCTCTTAAGTATTTTCAATAAAATAGACGAGCTGCAACGAAGGAACATGTTTGTGCAATGAGGTCTTACCCTAAGCTGAGTTCAAAGCTCAAACTCCGACTTCAGTTGGGGGAAAAAAGTTTAGTAAGCTATTTCACTTCGGTCAGTTTCTTCCACAGATAAAAAAATGAATGGCTGGAGCTTGAGGTTCAGTGTCCGCTACTTAAGATTTTATCAGTACCTGAAAGAGAATGTGTTCCTGGTTCTGCTGAATTTGGGGAGGACATAATTACATAAATACCTGTCGCCATCTAGTGTACTGTTAGAGTCAATGCAAATAAAGAGTACAGTCAATGCAAACAGAGTAGGCCTACCAGCACTTATATAGGCCTAATATGTGATCTGTTTGCATGCAGTAGGTTACCCTCTGCCTGGTATAGTGCTGCTTTCGCTTTGAGGTGGAATGAGTAAATTCTAATTTAATAAAGGCTATGAGGTCAAAACAATAGCCTTTTAGTCATTATGGCAAGCCAAGGCCTAACAGGAACCTATAGGTAAAACTTAACCAATTGAGCTAATCATCTAACTATTTGGATGGATGTCTCAGTTTTGAGAAGAAACATCACTTATTGACAACATGATTATTGACAACATGACAGTGCATTATGTAGGCTACTTTCATACCCACCATCTAATAGATCACTATTTATGTGGCCAGTTTTATGAAATCAGACTTTCTGAAAGACAAAGTAAAATTAATGTGACAATAAAAAGCCAGATGAGGAAGTAAACAGTGAACTTACTACTTAACACTCCTGTGCTGATTATAGGGTGTTTACATAACATCTGAGAGGTTTGCAGTTAGCGTGTCAATGACAAAGAAGACACATACCAAATCTTGGCACCTTGATAGGCCTCTACAGGACTAAATAAAGTCAAGATTCCAGACATGTTTTGGAAATCTGTAGATTAGACAAACAACAAAGTAGCAAATCATAGTCATACACTACATACATGAGTCCTAAACTACTTTACACCCTAGGGTCATGTCAAAAAATTCTGTATGGTTTTGTTTGGAAGTACAATCAAAAATCCAATTCCTAGCATTTTTTTTTTTTCTTGACCATTTGATTGAACTTTATTGTAAAATTAGACAATTGTATTTGATTCTTGCAAACACATGGCTCATAATCTCTAAAATCTCTAAGTAAAATTTCCCATAGTCATCCTTACTCATGCTTTTATTGTTTTAGATTCAAAGCAGCTGTTAGGCTACTACACTTCTACCAGCCCGCCCCATGAGCATGTGACAAAAGTTATTTAAAATCATACAGCCATTTAGATCTTCCCCTGCAGAAGATACAAGATATGATGAGTAAACATTTTAGAGGATTATAAAATGTTTGGACATAGCGTTTTTTGGATGTAAACTTAACTTAGAACCAAAAGACAGAGTTCTTTTTAATCTTCTAGAATATATTTATGTGCAGTTTTCATTCATTGTATCTATGAGAGATGTGCCTATTATTAACGTGTGCTTGTGTGTTTATTTACACTGTGTATGTGGAATATGTATGTGGAATAATTCTAATCATGCACACTTTGCAGTAAACAATACTGCTATAACCTACAGCCTCAAAAAGTGAGAAAATATTTGAAAAACTTATGGCTTTGACCCCAGGAGAAAAAAGCTAGGAAGACTATCCCGAAGTGAACTTTGGCTTTGAGTAATGTGGTTGGTGATTGGTCAAAACTCCAAAAGAGGCGGATACAGTTCCGCATTATTGATACAGAAAACGTAGCACTCTGTTCTGTAAGAAAGCTCACGGGTTGTGGCTCTGGTCTGAGCGACTCTTCGCTTAGCGCAAACAGCTCACCTGGATCCACTTGTGTCGGTTAGGTTATATTGTGCCAACGAGTAACTAGGTAAGTCGCAGGATACTATTCTTGACGTTGACCCTCTATTGCATTGGAATGCACAAAATACGCTTATACTGCATTACCGTAGCGCAGCACGCACGGCGCTGCAGGCATGTTTTGGACACAGTTGGCATGTTTTGGTTACAGTTCAAACAAGGATAGGCTTTCTTGTAACCTATGGCGCCTTACTGGCATTTTGCTGCTGTTTTTATACGGAAGTGATTGTGCAATCCTTTTGCTGTGCAATAACAATTTTGTCATTTAGCCTTAGTTTATTGTGGAAGCTTGTCGCTTACATGATGATACCGTCGTTTACGATAATATCATCTTCACTATCAGCTAACAATGTTTGACCTATATAACTTAATAGATTTTGAAAGTAACTGAATTAAGGGGGATTGGTTGTCTTTTATTAAAGTTTACTTTATGGCAATTACTACTTTGATGTGGGTAAAATTCAGATAATAAAGTCTATGTTTTCTGCGTCAGCCAAAAAAATCTTATTACAGTCTTATATGCCTATGTTCCATTATTAATTTCATTAATCACACTTTAGCTCGAAAATAGTATTAGATGTAGGCCATTTTATGGGATTCTTGGATTCTTGTTTGAGTTTTTGTTTGTTTGTTTGTTTTGAGAGCTACTAGAGCATTTGTGAATTTGTTAGTTTTTAATGGTTTTCTGTGTAACACTTTGGGAACATTTTAGTATAAAATGTGTTAATAAAGTGGATGATGCACAGAGTATTAAGTTTGTGCTAATAATATTTTGATTGACCTTCGTGTTGGTAGATCAAGTATGACTGCGCTGCGTCTCTTACACAAGTACCAGTCCACTGGGATAGCTGCTATCTCCCATTTACACACAAGCAGCCCTGCCTCTGCCAATATGCACTACAAAGTTCTGGTGCTGGGAGGAGGAAGTGGAGGCATTGCAATGAGTGCCCGCATGAAGAGACTGTTGGGGGCAGAAAACGTGGCTATTGTGGAGCCCAGTGAGGTATGAGACTTGCACTGTCTGCTTATTGATCCACAAAGAAAATGACTTGCACAGTAGCTCATCCACTACAAAACAATAAAGAGGAAATTCTATGGAAATACATTTTTGAAATAATCAATGTATCAAAACATTAGTTTCAAATAAGTTACAAATATACAAATTTGTATAAACAAAAGTAAAATGACATATTAAATATAAAATATCTAGTAAGGAAACCCCACCTTCCTGAATCACAAGGTTATTTTTATCAGATGAGCTTGAGTTATACAGTTGTATGGGGTATGATTTGAATGTAGTCCTGTACCATTCACTGTGGGAGCGCTGCTGTAGAAGGTGATAGGTGGATTAGACCTCTTCCAGTGGAGTAGGTGAGCAGGTGTAATTACATGACCAGCTTTACGGATCATCTTGTCAGCACAATGTCCCTTTTGCTGGTGCTTCTCCTCTAGCAGACCACAGTGAAGTACAGGGCCATGCCAACTGATAGAAGATCTCCAGTAACTTGCAGCAAAGATCTGAACTTTCTCAGGAAGTAAGGTCTTCTTATGTCCTTCTTGTAAAGCATTACTATTATGCCACTGTCACATGCATGTTGGGCAGTTCAGGGGAGTTTTCTTTGATAGCGGTGCTTGTTCACCCAACCTGTGTGTGTTCATGTGCATGTGTGTATTCAGGTTGAATGCTACAAACACACTCTGTATCTATTAGTGACTTCATATTTCAAAACAAAACAAAATTTCAGAAGTTTCCCCCTTAATGTTCACTTGATACAAAATGTATCTTACACTCTATCTCAATTTGTGAGAACTCTAGTATTCTAGTATTCCCACCCAATCAAACACCCTGAAGTCATAGCAGGCATCGTTCATGCTGCTTCCAGAATTCCCATGCAAACGGCTTTGATTGAAACCACCTGGCTTTAGGGCCACACCAGCACCTTAAAATATAGATATATTTACTGAGATGCACCATCCTGCTTATATACCATCTGCTGTTTCTATTCCAGACACACTACTATCAGCCCATATGGACCCTGGTTGGTGCGGGTGCAAAAAACATTGCCTCTTCAGGTCGTCCCACTGCAAGTGTCATTCCCTCTGGAGTAAAGTGGGTTAAATCAAAAGTCCAGGAAATAAACCCAAACACAAACACAGTGCAAACAGATGATGGGAAAGAGGTACGTGGATAATTTATCTTTAAAATTGTGACATGACAGCTGACATATTTTTGTGTTGACATCGGATATAATGTACTTTTGTTTCTAGATTTCCTATGAGTATTTGATTGTCGCTTTGGGTATACAGTTACACTTTGAAAAGGTGTGTGCTTTGATTTACATGATAAATTTTGTGGTTGCTCAGATTTATGCCCATTCTGACAGTTTTATTTTATTAACACATTGATTTCTTATGTGTGCTCACAGATTAAAGGCTTGCCAGAGGGATTTGAGCATCCAAACATCGGATCTAACTACTCAGTCGAGACAGTGGAGAAAACATGGAAGGCATTACAGAATTTTAAAGAAGGAAATGCTGTGTTCAGTTTTCCAAACACTCCAGTGAAATGTGCCGGAGCCCCACAGAAGATCATGTATTTGTCTGATGCATATCTCAGAAAGGTAAGATCATACACTCTCAGAGGGGCATGGAGTAGCATTTTTATTTTTAAAACACATTGCTAAAGTTAAACATAAAGTGGCAATTCATTTATAAATGTTTGATGCAAATAAATAATTTAGGATGTAAAGAAGAAGTCAAATATGTGTATTGTGGCTTGCAATTCTTATTTAAAATAAGTTTGACCTCTCCTGACACAAAAAATGTACAGTGACTAATACTTGTTGCGTCTTGTACATGACAAAAGTGTGGGCATTAAAATTGTGATTTCTGTGTTGTTATTTTAGACAGGGAAGAGGAATAAGGCTAAAGTGATTTACAACACCTCTCTGCCAGTGCTATTTGGCATCAAGAAATATGCTGACTCATTGTGGGAGATTGTGAAACAACGTGACCTACAAATCAACCTCAGGCAAAACCTGATTGAGGTGCGAGCCGACAAACAAGAGGCTGTGTTCGAAAATTTGGACAAGCCCGGCGAAACCACAGTCTTTGAGGTAAATACTCGCGAATTTATGCATAATGTTAAATTCTCATTTTGTGCTAAATTACAATTATCTTAATTATTATGTTCTTTGTGTTTCTAGTATGAGATGCTCCATGTCACACCACCAATGGGACCCAATCCAGTCGTTAAAAACAGTCCTTTAAGTGATGAGGCCGGGTGGTTAGATGTGGACAAAGATCATCTCCAGCACAAGAAGTATCCAAATGTGTTTGGGCTTGGAGACTGCACCAACCTCCCAACGGCTAAAACCGGAGCTGCTGCGGGTAAGGTCACACCTGTAATTTAGGCTTTAAAATAGGCCCACTAAATAACTTCCAAAAAAAAAAAAACATGCCACACATTTTTACTTTAAATTTCCTATATTAAGCAATTTTGTCTCTATGTTATAATGCTATGCCCTCATCAAAAACATACCTGAAGTTTTGTTTTGTTTCATTCACACATGACAAGATTTGTGTGCTAAACATTTAGGCAGAGTTCTTCTCTCAAAAAGAAAACACTTCCACCTTGTGATGTCATGTGGTAATACAGGAAGCGCTCCACTTTGTTTATAAACTTCATACACCGGCACTAGAATCATCTGGATGATTTCAGATATGGAATTGCCAATCTCTACTGAACTAAAGATAAAATTTAGCTGTTATCTTGAAAATGACCAGTTCATTCCATCACAAGGTGGAACAAAGTATTTTGAGTTTTGGAGATGCAGATAGACCAAAGACATGTGAATGAAACAAAACACAATTCCAGGTATATTTTTAATGAGGGAGTAATATTATAACATGGCTTAAAGCTCGTAAGAGTCAGTTTTGCGTAATATAGGACCCTTAATGTATTGGTTAGATTACATTTTACAAAAGCAACCAGTTTAACTCATCTTATTGTGAACTATACCCAAAGTATGAAGTTAAAAGACATTCTAACAGTTCACTGCACATTATAAAACATGTCACCACTATACATTTTTTTTTGTAGCTGCCCAATCAGCAGTTTTGAGTCGAACCATCAGCAGGATACTTAAAAATCAAAAGCCGGATAAAATTGTAAGTTGTCCACTGTAGGGATTATGGTAACATTTGCAATATTTCAAATGACATGTTCTTATGTGTTTTGTTTATTTTTTTCCCTTCTTTTTGTAGTATGATGGTTATACCTCTTGCCCATTGGTCACAAGCTACAAATCAGTCATTTTAGCTGAGTTTGACTACAACGGGCAACCACTGGAAACATTTCCTATAAACCAGGCAAAAGAAAGGCGGATTATGTATCACATGAAAGCAGACGTGATGCCCCATCTCTACTGGCATGGGTTTTTAAGGTAAAGACTTCACTTGATAATATAGGCTATTTGTTATGTTTTATCTTTGTCATTGTAATTTAACTTTTTCTTTGATTTAGGGGACTGTGGGGAGGGCCAGGACCATACCGGAAAATCATGCACCTTGGAATGAAATAAACCACTTTGGCAGAAACTTTTTATTCAGGACAGAAATTTGTATTTACATTTTCATGTAAGTACTCTCAACTGTCTGGTAGAGTATAGAATGTGGGGCTTCACTGAGGACAAAAATGAACAACTGGACATAAAAGCACTTGTTAAATTGTTTTCTACTATGTTTTGATCTGTCAAATATTCTGAACATGTTTTACCATTACAGAGCTTTCTGGGAGTGTTTGCCTTTTCACTTTGGAATTCACTTTGAATGTAATAGGCTCTAATGGAGCCTATTGTTTTAATGTTCCCTTAAATAAGTGTTTCAATGTTACTATACCTCATTTTGGTAAACATCTATGTCAACAAAATTATAAGCCTATATTAGCTACTGATACAGGCCTACAAAGAAGGTACAGAGGGATAGGGATGTTCATGATGTTTATACTTTTGGGGAAAAAAAAAAAAAAGAATTAAGAACCGGGCTGTCCTAAATGACTTCAATACCAGCTACTTGTGAAGTTAATCCTATAGGCTGTGGTGCTCTCTATTCAGAGGTTGAGTCTGTTAAAGTTTAATTGTGCCATTTTCAGTTGATAATGCAACACCCGAACCAAGTGTCTATTATTATTGTGCTTTACGAACTTAAATGTCGTTACAGCATTTCATTATTAATCACTACTATCCAGAATAAATGTGACTGATGCTCTGCGCCAAAAGCCTACCTTTCCTTTCCTCACTCAGTCACGCTCCTCTTTCTCATAGGCATGTTGCGTCTTGCTCAGTAACATTACAATGTAGCTTTAATAAAGCAGTGAACCGCCAACTAAAACTAAAACCTAAAAGAAAAAAAAATTAAATAATTTGTTTTCAATAGCTAACTCAGAGTGAGGGTATGTTCATATGCTTAAACGAGTCATCTGGGACACTTCCATGACTCCAGTGGCATCCACAGTGAAGCAGCCTGCTGCCTTTAGCCCTGTTGCTGTGCGCTCTTCTTGGCCACGTCGGAGCCTCTGCGCGAGTGTCGCATTCTGGTGCGCAGCTCCAGCTTCTGTTTGTGACGACGCGGGAAATGGCGTCCGCTGTCGGGCTTGAGCAGTGACTGTCGGAGAAACAAACGCAGCAGACAGCGACAACCACGGCCCGACCGCGGTCTGGGGCCGCCTCGGCTGCGGCCAGAAGCTGACATCGCGGTGTGACTGAGAAGCGCTTCCCAGATCATCGGTAAGTAGCGACCGACGTCAACATGTAAACAAAACAGGTTTGTCCCCCTCAGAGCTGCTAGCTGTGGCTAATGTTAACAAGCTAGTGAAGGGGGCGTAGTCTGATGGCAGAAAATAGATGTAGTTAGCAGTGAGCAAAATGACTTACCCGCGGGTCCTGCACGCTCATAGCCCTAAAGCACGGGAAGAACCAATGTAATGAGAATAGCCCCGGGAGGTTAAAAGGAACGGGAAGTAAATAATGACATGGCTCTGCTTTGGTGATTTCTGTGGGTTTGTTAGCCTTGTAGCTACATAGTTGTCATCTCAATGTTTGCTAGACGACTGATTGATTTTGTATGGGTTTAAAAACATGTTTCCCAATAAATTGCCTTTTTGACTGTATTTAGACCTCCAACTGCGCTGTGCCTGAGCGATAATAAAAACAGTGTTGTTTTATTAGCGAAAGGCTAATGTTAGCCATATCTGACGTCGGGGGTATTAACATAGGCTCCTGATGTTACATAACAAAGAACGGCACTGTTTTATTAAATGAAACGGATGCGAGTCGGAACCGATAAATGACAAAATCTACAAAGTAGTTATATTATTTTATCTTAATTTCTTGTTGTCACGTCCATGAGGGAACATCATATGATCTCCGCCCACTCACTGTGTCCGACAGCATTTGGTTTGTCATATGACTGATAATTATAAAAAGTGACAACTGCCCATAAAAAGGAATCCCCTGATACAGTCATTGCAGTTTATTCAGGCTGATTGTCATTATGGATTTCTGTAGTTGTACAAATAATTAATTGTGAATCAATAAAACGTATGTAAAACTACAGTAGTAGTTCTAATCATGAAACTTGCATTCATGCAGGCTGCATAATGTTTGTATTTTGTCTTCTCACAGAGTTTCTATGTGACGCCGGGGCACAATGAGGCTGAGAGTGCGTAAAGCTCCTCAGCAGCCAAAGTTAGGCCATCGCTCCCATCTGCCCCAGGGCAAAAGGAAGCGCTGTGCAGTGGAGCCATCACCTGTGAGAAATCGAGGAAAGATGCAGAAGAATGAGACGGGCCTCCTCTCCACCATTAAAAAAATCATCCGTGGGAATGCTGTTAAGGTGCGCAGGGAGAAAAGTATATTGGGTTTGAGTTTTTATTTTTGTGTACAACATTTTAGATCTGTATTTACAAATTAATATGTATGTTTGGATCTTTTTCAGATGGAGCAGGAAATCCCTGCCAAGAAGAGTCGTATTGATTGTAATTCTGATAGGCATTTAATCACTTCAACACCTCAAACTAGAGGCCTTACCAACAAAGGAGTCACCAGAGTTTGTAGAAAAAGTCCCAATAAAGGTAATGTGATAGTGTATAGTGTATAGTGTAAATGTTTGTCTATACTTAGTTATACTTCATGTATGTTTTAGATACACTTGCCATAAATAATAAACCTCTAAAACCAAATGGAAAACTAGAGGCCCCTGTCGAAGAAGAGAACAGCCCTCCTCGTACCACTTTGCTTGGGACCATCTTTTCTCCTGTCTTCAACTTTTTCTCACCAGCAACAAAACTAGGTGAAATATAGACACTGCTCTTTAATATGGAATTCATGCATCTGAAGAAATGACTACAATGTAATTTTGTGTAAGTCCAGCCACTCCTGGGTCAGACTCTCCAGGCCAAGCAATGGAGGCAGAGGAGATCATGAAGCAGCTAGACATTGAGCCGGCAGAGGAGATGCCGAGTAGCACTCTCACCTCCACAGAGAGCATCACTCTTTGTCACAGTAACACAGCATTACCCACAAGGCTCCACATCAGTACCGACTCCATCGAAGAAGGGGAGATTGTCACAGAAACAGATATGCCACCGCTAACAGGTTAGCTTATTAAAACTGGAAAATCAATCAAAAGAAATGACAAAATTTAAAATTATTTTAAGAATTGTCTACTCAGAGTAGTAATCATTATACAAATTCTTGTCATATTTGCTCATCTGCAAGGAGTAAAACACTTTCCTTTTCAGCTCCCGGTTGTATCCCAGAAGGAGGTTATCCTCACCCTTTACCTCCAGTTCCTGTAGAAACTTCATATGAGGATGACTGGGAGGTATTTGATCCGTAAGTTATTATTATTATTTTTTTTACTATTTAGTTTTTTACTATTCAAGTCTGTTCAAGGTGACATTGGTGCTAGTAATGAACAGTCATGCCACTGGGTGGCAGCAGAAGCTATATTTTCACAATGATGACGTATACACTGCCACTATAGTATTGCATGTCTATAGTGATGGGAGTAGGCTTACAATTTATTGCATATTTTATTACAAAAACATCTTTTTGTTTGGCTTTATTACATACTTATTATTATTTATGATTTTTCTTTCAGCTACTTCTTTATCAAGCATGTGCCTCCATTGAACGAAGAGCAGTTGACGCGTAAACCAGCACTACCTTTGAAAACGCGCAGCACTCCTGAGTTTTCCCTAGTTTTGGACTTGGTAAGTGCTAGAAGGTTTTACTATGTTTTAAATTAAAATTTATGTATAACCTGTTCAATATGTCTACAGGATGAAACACTGGTTCACTGTAGTTTGAATGAGCTTGAAGATGCAGCATTGACATTTCCTGTACTTTTTCAAGACGTAATATACCAGGTATGTTACTGCTAATTTAAATGTTGTCATTTAAGTGTTTTTGATGAGACTTAACTATTTTAAAAAATAACTATACAGGTATATGTCCGGTTAAGGCCCTTTTTCCGAGAGTTTCTTGAACGCATGTCTCAGTTATACGAGGTAACATGATTTTTCCTGATAACATTGATATACCAAGAGTAAATATATCATTCAATGTTTTGTCTGCTTAAATTCCTAGATAATTCTCTTTACTGCTTCAAAGAAAGTGTACGCAGACAAGTTGCTAAACATCCTGGATCCAAAAAAACAGTTGGTCAGGTCAGTGCCAACATTCTATCTTGAACATTGCAGACATTAAGAAGTTTAGACATGTTTTATTTAAAGCTGCTCTTATAACTCATACAAGGCAGTTTTTGCGCAGACTTAGACATGTTTTTCATCCATCAGACACAGACTATTTCGAGAACATTGTGTGTGTGTCCAAGGAAACTACATCAAAGACCTCAACATCCTTGGACGGGATCTGTCAAAGACGGTAATCATTGACAACTCACCTCAAGCCTTTGCCTACCAGGTAAAACTATCACATAGAGGAGTAATATTCAAGTGTATCAGATTTAACTCTTTACTACTTTACTGTGTTCTAGCTTTCCAACGGGATTCCTATTGAGAGCTGGTTTGTTGATAGAAATGATAATGAACTTTTGAAGTTAATCCCTTTTCTTGAAAAACTTGTGGAACTGGTAAGTACATTTATATGTAATTTTTAAATCAAATAATTAAAAATTTTAATATTTTGCTGTAATTAAGTCTTTCTGTTGCAGAATGAAGACGTCAGACCGCATATTCGTGAGCGGTATCGTTTGCACGACCTTCTCCCTCCAGACTGAGGTCCTTGGCTTTCTGTGCATTTTAAACTATTGGTGAAAAATAACTGAAAATTCAACAAAATTAACAATGACATTGTTATTTTAAAGATCATGCAAAAAAACTGAAAGTTATGTCAAAAGCTGTGGATGCTTTTATACAAATCAGAACAAGCAGTTGTACTTTCTCTTTGCTCGTAACTTTATGTGCGACCTATGAAGTCGAAGAATGACAAAACTGAATGTCAAGTGTTGGGTTTTATGGACCTTGTAGGCTTCAGCCTGACATTGAGCGGCCAGTCAAACCTGTAAAATATTCACTATTTACTTGTAAATATCTGTAAATAATGTTTTCTTCAAGGTTTTTAAGTCTTTTTATTTTCAAAATTTTAGTAGCTGTTCTTTAACTTGCTTTTTTAAAATGACAAATGTGTGCATTTTGTTGAAGTTGCTTGTTTATGTTGTATGCCTGCGCCGCGCTATTCCTGTGATGCTGTTCTCCATTACATGCAGTTGTCTGTGATCAGGTGGTTTAAAAAAACAAATGTAACTTTGGGAGAAAATGTTTATGAAATATATTTTAAAAGCTGTAATGTAAGATAGATTAGGTCTCAACTGAATACCAAGCCATAGTGGCCCAAAATTATTTTGTGAGGGATTTATATAGACAAGTTTCTGATGAAGACCTGACCAGTTTGAAGGGTTTGTGACTGGGCGTGGGATTTGGGGGGTCAGACATCTTGCACTTTGACATCCAGCCCTTTGTAAGTTAATGTAAAATCTTGTCATTTTCTACACAGGTGTGCATCACCTCAACTTTGTTATGAGGTTTAAAAAAATAAATTGTAGCACCAGCAAATTGCCAACATGTTTGCTTCTTGTTTTTCAAGGCGACCTGTTTGTGGGATCTTTATGATGTAGGACTTTTATTGACTATTGAATGAGCTCTCCAGTTGTATTCAGTGTTGCTCAGTGGTTTCCTTGAAAATAAATAACATTTTATACAAGTCTCTTTTTTTGTGTAATAACGGCACAATCTCAACCACAATATGTGGTTCTGCTTAAAGCTTTTATTTTGCTGCTAAAATGAACTGGAAAATGACAACTGCAGTCTTTATTGAAAAAAATGTGCTGTTGTATTGACACTGATGTTTTCAGCGTTTGGTGCACATAATAATCTTAATATTGATACTATTTGCAGATACAGTAAACAGTCTTTCAGTATAGAAAAACAAGAATTAAGCATCGGCAACACAAAAGGCCATTCTTTTGATCCAGATGCCCCGCCACCCTAGTTAGTCTGCAAGATTACGAGATATCCATCCCACTGATACACTGCTGTCTCAAACCTTTTGTTCTTGCAGAAATAGGTCATTACCTGATTGTTAAGTGTGCTCTGAATTGCCCCCTTTCTGGTCATGTGACTTAAAATACAAAGGGGGCCAGTGTTTTTGCCATCACTGGACTTATCTAACAATGCGTCTTGGAGGGATGAATTTCAAAACAAAATCATACCATTGATAGTGTAAAGATAAGAGATCCCGTCTGTGAAACCCCCATCTATTGGCTGGTGTGGGGGGGTGGAGATGATGGCCCATAAAGTCTACTTGTCTTGTGTATATAAATTACATTGTTACATTTGCACTGATTCAAAAACATATAAAATGTGGATATTTTTCTTAGGAATCTTGGTGATGGGGGCACTGGGGACAAAAGGTGGGTAACACTTTTAATAACTTGAATGAGGTTTTTAACTTGCATGAGCTTACATTTCAAACATATTTCAAAATATTATAAATTTGGTTCAAGGTCGTAATATGCAAGGTTTTCAAATTTACAAATGTTGTTTAAACAGAATTATACATTTTTATTTTGATATTAGACATTGTGTGCATGTCTGGCTACATCCTAACTAAGGAAAAACATCCAGCTTTTAAGTTTGAAGCAGTCAGATAGTTAGGTCTGTATTTTTTGCTAATAAATAGATATATTGAATAAAATGTTACGGTTACATATTTAGTAGTAGTAATAACAGTAGTAGTAGTTTTAATCTTTTCATTCATGAGCATTCAAAGCTTTAGATTGTGAGTACAAGCAAGATTTTATTTATTTTGAACAGAGCCTGATTTTATCCACTTAGTTTACTTCCATAATACACTGTACATTGCAATATTTTCTAATTATTTAGGGGACTCTCCGCCACAGACAGTCAAACACCAGCATCTTAAGGCCCTTCACTGCCCTCCCTGTGAGCAAATTCACTGCTCCCCTCGACAGGCGCTGAGGCTCAGGTGTAGAGGGGGGGTGACCACAGGTGTGTGCGGCTGCTGTCCTGTCTGTGCCAGAACCGAGGGCGAGAGCTGTGGGGGGGCCTGGGACTATCTGGGCAAATGTGATCAGGGGCTAGTATGTGTCTATGAGGAGTCAGAACAGGACAAGACTGAGAGGACTGGAGTCTGTAAAGCAGGTAAGATTACAACTGTATGCAATTTCGAGTGCTACAAGACATTTTAATGTGATCTTTTCAGAATAGATTAAGATTGCAAGATCCTAAAAAATAATGAAATGTGATCAGGAAATGTAGCTGATGCTTATTTTCTGATGTTAATAGTTTTTCATGTCTTGAAATGAAATTGTTTTGTAGTCTGTTGTAGTCAATGTTATGCCAAAAACAGATTATAAAAATGTTTTAGAAATAAGACCATTCAAGAGCATTCAAACAGATTCAAGTAATTACACTAGCAACTTAACTTAATAAAAACTTAATAAAACATACAAACAAGCGGGCGTCGCAAGGCATATTAAAATGTGGCTTTTTAAATACACCACTTTCATTCTATATATTATTATTTTTATTGGGAATGATGCCAAAGTAGTAAACGTTTTTATGAGCTGCTCAGACTGATAGTGTGGTCAAGGCTTCCTTTGATTCAAAGCGTTTGGCTTCACAGTTAGACACAACCGTTATCTGTAAGCAGTGAAAAGAGTTGTCCCCCTGGCTCATACCGCATCTGACAGACACAATCGGACTATTCTTTGTTGTCCCATTACTGTCTCAGAAGCTTAAAATAAAATAATTGTGTGTTTATAAATATTTACACTTCATTTTTTGCAGTTATTGAGCCACTGGATTCAGAGAGCTGTCATCCAGAGTGCACAAAGGAATTCTGTCATGAAAACCCAACTAAAATCTGCTCTGCCAGGTATTTTCCTTTTTAAGTCAGACTATACAATATATATTAGGAATGAGAAATATTATTTGCAAATGAAATAGCAAAAATATAAAACTATTGAGTTTTCATTTTCAAATTTGCCCTGATTTAGCTCCATCTACCATTAGTAATTTCCTGACTATTATTAAGATCTCAAAAAATTATGTACCTGTTCCAGGAGCATTAAATTAGGTCTGGACCACCTTGATTAAACTTGGGCTAACTAAAACCTGTCTTAAAAGTAAAAATCAAATGCTCAAACACAGGATTAACTAGCACAAAATCAAAACTTGCTCAAGAGTTGTTGTAGATATTCTATCATCTATGTTTTCAACATTTGTATTGCATTTCTGGTTCATTTATACAATACAATTTCTTTTAGACTTGTGTCTCTGGATAGGAGGCCTTGCCAGGGCTCTTGTCAGCACACCTCCTGCTCCGCTTGTGTCCTGCTTGAGCCCCCGTCCTGTCCACAGACCTGTCCCACCTCAGATGCCTCCTGTCTGCAGCGCTTCGGCAAATGTGTTCATAACCACCTGCTCACACCTCACCACCAGCCTGTGTGCCACCATAACATGCAGGTAAAGACTGCTAGTTTTTCAGTCCTATATTTAAATAAATAATATGCCATAATAAGCTACTGCCTCTTCTTCACAGAGTAACAGTGGAGGAAGCTTGGTGTGTTTAGTCCCAGACTGTCCGAATGCATCTAAGTGAATTATTGTGAGACTCAATGTATGTAGCACAAGCACCAAGGCAGCTATTTGTACAGATAAACTGTGAATGCATTGTAATTCAAATAAATAATGTCTTACTGAAGTATTGTATTTGCTAAGCGGAGTGACAGCCCCCCCCGCATGGGCTGCCCCCTGTGATGTGAGTGTTATTCAATAACAGTTTATGAGGCAGTCGATATAATGAGCTGCTATGAACAGGGCCAACAATGAGCCTTCTGTGTGGTGGCCTTCAATTATGACACTTTCAAACTAAAACTCAATAGAGTTCACAATAATCATTTTGACTACTGTTGATTTGCGCTAAAGTAGGATATCCAAACCAAAATGTATAAGTTTAAAAAATGTACGATGTGACAGTACTCCAAAATGCCAAGATTGATATCCTATCATTACAAATATAGATAAAATGCTTTTTTTTAATAACAACACCTTCATTAGACTAGATAACATATGAATAAAGACTTAAATCATAACAATTAAGTTATTAAGAATGAGTTAGCGTAGTACTACTTAAGGAGTTAAGGTTAGAGTATTAATTCTTTATGAATGAAACTCTTTATTACGCATTAGGTCTTTCTTCATGTGTTATTAAGGTTGCAAATAGTTAATTGTTTATTGTTTAATTTTTTAAGATATGGATAAACATCGCATATCTTATCAATATTAACTATCTATTAAATTACATATCTGTATCTGGTATTTTTCTTCAAAGCAGAACACATTTGTTATCAGCACCTATAGAGCTCTTTCGCACTTCTACTGATAAACTCAAAGCAGTGTGTGCTTACTAGCAGCAATAAATCTGCTTGATGTTTTAATATGACCCAGACAAAGGGAAACAAAAGGGAAGTTGAATAAGGAATATTTTATAAGAAAAGCATGGACTGGGTAAATAGACGAGACATCGACTATTTAATGATGGAACCTTTGAAGAATAATAATAATAAGAATGTAAACAAGTATTTGTCAAAAAAAAATCTACCCAGTTAATACAAATACACAGTATGAGAAAATATACACAGAGAGAAGAAATATATATATATATATATATATATATATATATATATATATATATATATATAGTAAAACAGTAAATGATTTTAAATGAAAAAAAAGTGGCTGCCATAGCTACTATATAAAATGATTGGGTAAGTTTAACTTTGTTTACGCATAAAGCGTTTCAGAGATTCAGTCTGAGGAAGGCACTATAGGGGACATGTTATGAGGTCTTGTCACCTGAAAAGTTTTTTCCAAAAAGAAACGAAGGAGCTGGAGTTGAAGGCACCAATCAGAAGCAGCAGCAGAAGGTACAGACTCATCATGATGGCAAAGTGGTGTCTGAGCAGCCATGAAGAGCTCCGGGAGTTTCTGCAAAAGACCAGAGTAACAAGCATTACAAGTTTACAAGGTTACAAGGGTTAATGATCCCTACATGGTTAATGATTCCTTCATGGCTTTAAAGAACAAAAGTTTTTTTTTTTTTTTTTTTTTTTTATATGAGAGCTTATTCTTCCATGTTGGATTATTTACATTTGGATTATTTCTTTTACTAACACTTACCTAGACAGATGCCTCTTCTGGGAGTAAACCAGCAGATACTTGACCCGTAAAAGCTGATTGTTGGTGACAACAAAGTATTTCTGTGGCACGTCTCCACCCTCACTGTTCTTTGCTCTGGATCTCTGGCGGTCAATGATTTCTGAGTCTGAAAGGTTTTTGTTTTAGTTTTGTTTAAACATTTAAAATGTAGCTCTAGAATTGGTTTCAGGATCTTATTTATAAACAGCTATATTATTTTCGGAGTGCAGATTACATTGAATCCATTTTTACAAACCTGGCTTTGGAAATACCTCTAAAAACCATTTACCCTTTTTCTTGACTTGACACTTGACGTCAGGGTGGTCGATGACTTCACACAAGGCAACACAGCTGAGCAATGCACCCAGCAGACTTTCCCTCCATGCGTTGCTGTGTGGACTATACAAGACTGCCATGCTGAGGTCACTGGTCAGGTAGGTGCCCTCTCCAAACACAGAGTTCTGCACAAACAATTAAAGAGATTTTGATCTGAATCCTCGCTACTTTAACTCTTGAGCTTTCACATGAGGCACGGCCATATATTGTGAAACAGCAAAATATGCATTTTCTTAGAATAACAAACCTTGTTGAGGTGACAGTGTAGCCCGTTATGAATGATTGAGTGAAAGTTTTCCAGGCGGCTCCCGTGGAATGCATAGAAAGTGTCTCGTCCTGCCCTAGTCTTCTCAAATCGGGCATTTAGCTGATCGTTGTATTCAATCTCAAACAGGAAGTCTGGTGCTGGTCCCGAGAACCCTTCATTTTTTGTCAAGTTGCACAAATGGGCATACTAAAAGAAGTAGGTAATGTAATTTTTAGGTAATATTTTTTTATTTTGTAGCCTGCTTTTGGGCATCTATTCAAGAATTTGTCTGTGTACCTCCTCTTTCTCCAGTGTTTTTATAGCAAAACTCTTTGAAGAGAGGATCCAGTGTGTAAGAGCTAAATGATGATCACCTTGCCCAGGTCGCAGCCTCACCAGTTCCCTCACACCAGGTAGTGACTTTACATCAGCCAACTGCAAAAGATATTTATTAATTTCCCCTAAATTAGAAAACAGAAAATAATAAACTTATATATATATATATATATATATATATAAATAAAACATCAATAAGCACATTATAACAAAAGGAAAATGTTTAATAGTCTGACCAGTTCCTCAAACTCCTTGTTGTCACCACTGATGTATCGAGGGGGAAAGGGTCTAAGCAGAGAGTCCCTCTTATAGTTTTGAGCTGCTGCCACAAACAGACTGCAGCGGAGGTCTGCGGCCACTGGGTCCCTGTGCAAACAGGAACACACCAGCTCTCGAACCACGTCAACTGGGACAGGCGGCTGCATCCCACGCCTGCAGGAATAGGGAATACACTTATTTAGGACATTACAGTCAATGTTTTATTGCAAATCCGTAACATATCATTTACACAGTTGGATGTTCTTTCAGCTTTTGGCAAAGAATGACCAGATGTTTGCATCTAATGGACACAATCCAACTTTCAGATTTCTTGTCCCATCGTGTAGGCAAATGGGACTTACTTAAAGGCAATATTAAAATTTTCAAAACTTAATCTCAGTTATTCTCCTGTAGGAAAAGGGAAGCAAAGGAAGCATAACAATATAAACAATATAAATGTATCAAACGACTTTTTATGCATTGTCAGATTCATGCATTTTGATATTGATACGAAAATGATACAGTGCAGTGGCCCACATTTTTACAACTACAATTCAGTTAATTTATGTGTCTGTAATAGTCTTCAAAACTTTAAGGAGAGCTTTAACTGAGCCAAGACTAAACATTATGCTAACGATAGACTGTCTATGCTGCTAATAACACGCAACAAACCGTGTCTCCGTTTATGAATAAGATAAAATAAGCACGATGCAGCTACCTTATGTACGAAAAGATGTACTCGTATATATGTACTTTACATGTTTAACAACTTAAGATTAAAGCGAAGAAGTTAATATACCATACCTTCGATTGTCAACTCATAGCACTCGGCAAACAGGAAGAGCTAGCACTAGCATTTAATACTGGGGCATTCATGGGATCTCGGAGAAACAAAAATTTATAAAAATAACGAATACTAAACGGGAAAAGAACGTGTATTTAATGGCATAATGCCGTGTATTTTATGTACATAGTCAGTATAAATTGTACAACAATTAGGGACGTGTGAAAGATTATAAATTTATTTTTTCTTGACAGGTTTAAGTCTTCGGGTGAACACTGAAAGCACCGCTTATGGCAAGCATATTTTCTATTATGATTTCTGTTATTGTTTATAAAAAAAATAAATAAATAAAACTTTTTTTTTTTTCATTATCTAGACGTAAATCAGAATTTATAAAAACAAACGATGACAGATATCAAAAAAGGACTGTACTTAATTTTAGGGTGTTGTAAGGGTGTTGTAAGGGCGTTGATTTTGCACGTTTAGAGCGCGCTATCATTTGTGAACAGCTATTGGATCTGCTTTAAGAGTTTGTTACACCTTTAAATGATGAAATCGGGCTTTTTGTCTCAAAAGTGTTTATGACTGACAACAGTCAAATTAAAACCAGGAGAAATGCGGGATTCAGAGACAGATCTACAGACAATGTAAGTCACTTTGCTAAGACTGTCAATGCCATAGCTACTATTACTCATGTATGCCTGACAAAGAAAACAGGATATAATATATTGGGAAATATAGGCTTCATGGGCAGTTTATAATGAATTAGGCAGTACAGTGTAAGTAAGTGAAATGATGCGATGCTAATATAATCTATTCTAATAGATCTATGGATTGACATCATGAAAATGACATTCAAATAAGGGTAAAGTGAGGATCCAGGTCAGACACGACATGAAGAAAACCCCAGATGACAGTTCATTCACACATCAAGTATTCATTCAAGTAAGTTCAGCCACAGGAAAATCAACAATAGATGAGTTTATTAGTAGCAGTACACGTTTTAGTACCTATGGGACTGAAGAGAACTAAACAATAAGCCATAACTATAATATATAATATATAAACTGTATATAACTATGAAGCATGGCCTTGCCTCAGACATGCTAGTTTAGGAATCACTAATCGAAAGAGATAGACTGATATAAAGAAATGGAGAGAGATGGGCAAGAAAGAGTGTTCGGCGTGTTGGAGCACATGGTATTTTCGGTATGCAGGCTACGCGCACTTTCTTTACTCTTGCATTACCCCCTTGCTGCTAAGCACCCCTAAACTTGGGAGCCTAGAATCGCCCCTGTTGTTTATTTATAGTTATAATTAAGAACGTATAACACAAAACATTAAAAATAATAAAACTGCATCTTTTCAACACAATAAAAACATATAGATCAGTCATCAGTTGATAATAAAATATAATAAAATAAACACTGTAATTACGTACAAGTGCTTCTTATTTTTACTACTTAGCTATTATTTCAGTACTCTGGACAGCGTCGGGCAGCGGCGGAAATGAATCAACATCGCCTTTCTCTGATTGGTCTGTTTAAGGCCAGCAACAAATCTCGTTTTTTCTCCATCTAGGCCGTGTGTGCTGCTCGGTGCTGCTCGGGGTGTAGGTAGGCAGGGTAATATCGGCAGTGGAGGGTTTTGTGTGCAAAATAAAGACCAAACATCACATCACATCGATTTTACGCACAACATTATCGTAGGAGGAGAGATATTTTCGTCACACCTGATTTAACCTATGTGCTTTTATCCCTGTATCCTCAATGCAGATGATTCCATAGGATGCTACAACACGGAAGCTTTTTAGCTACGCTGTGAACGAAAGGTAAGATTTTTTTCTCCAAATATCTTCAACAGTTTATTGCACGGAAACAAAATTGAGTGAACACCAACAAATCTACAAAGTATGTTGCTTCGTGATTGCATCTGAATGTGCAGTTTGGTTCGTGAGTAGCGTTTGACCTGCCCGATGTCCGGATGGAGAAGCAGTGGGGCTGAAGGACGCTCTCCTCACGATGGCCACTTGCACAGTGTCGGGTGTTAGCATCTCCGCCCTAAAATCCAAGTAGAAAGCCGTTATACAACTCAAATTGACTACAAAGCTAGTAAATGACTATTTGTTTAATTTTACATACGAATAGACTATTTTCTTCTCATCAACATCTTAGGACAAATGCCCTTTTGGCTATGGGTTGCAGCATCTTTATGCTACATCTCTGCAATCACCCGTATCAAGATCAGACACACATCTCTAAATAATGAAATGTATATATACCATTTTTATCAACTATGACTCACTTGGTGTTTCTTTTCAGTCCAAATGATGACATGGTCGCCTTTGACTCCCAAGCATCCCATGCACAAGTGTAGCATGTGTACAGAAATTATACCTTTTATTGTTTTGTTGCATGTTGCAACTTTGAGGCATTTTTTTTAAACAGCTATTATCTATTTTTGCATCAAATTCCAATCAAAAGCTCTGTGTAACAGATTAAAGCTCATTTCTGCTCTCCTCTCTTTGCAGTTGTATCTTTAGGAAGTAGAGTCAAATTTGTGTGCAATTTAAAAAAAAAAAACGAAGGATCATCATGGCTGGTAAGCTTTTACAGTAACTATATTATTGAAGCTCCATATATATACTGCTTTATAACATTGTCGTAACAAGGTTATGTTTAATATTCAGCATTATTGTGTTATTACAACAGTGTTTTGTTTCTCTGATACAGTGCTATAAAATCTATTGTCTTGTAATTTAGAAAACAACTTCCCCCCTCTGCCACGATTCATCCCCCTCAAGCCCTGCTTTTATCAAGACTTCAATGAGATTCCAGACCAGTGCCGGAATATGTGCAAACGCCTCTACTACCTATGGATTTGTGAGTTACATGACTATACTAATTAACTTAGTTACCAATTTTTCTCCTCAATATTATGTTGTTTTTTATATTGTCTCATTTAATTTTTAAATGACCTGGTAGTAGGCTATTAGTTGGAGTCATTTTCTGTGGCCACTTACAGCAACAGTGTTGACACAGAGACAGTAGGGGCAGGCCCTACAAATTACAAATCTAAATTTAAAATATTTATCTTGTAACTTCTTGATGTATAGCTACAAGTCTGCTCTTTGTCATTTCTGTGTAGGTTCTTCCACATGAATCTGTAAGGTTTGTCCAACAGTAGATGTATGTTTTCCCAGTAGTTTGTAGAAGCCTATTTGCAGAGGTGGAAAAAGTGCAGAATATATGGTTGGATTTACATAAAATCTCAGGGTAATATATATATTTTTTAATTTTACTGTAGTAATTGTACTTTTTTAGTCTTTCACCTTATGACCAAGTAGCAAGTTCGAATCTCACCTGAAGCACATATTGTTGTCTCTAGAAAGCATTACCCCCATTGCTCAATGAAGATACAGCAGTTTAACTAGTTTGGTGAAAAAGACATAACCACTAAAGAAACAATGAGCAGTTTTTTTGAAAAATACAGAGATCTACTTAATCTGAGTATTTTTGTAATTTGACTTCCACCTCTGTCTAGTTGTATATGGTCTACAATGCAGTAGTAAAATCATGAATGAGCTTGTTAATTTAGATGTTAGTTTGCATAGTAGATTCTTTTTAGTACCTTTGAGGTCCTTAAACATACTGTGCTGTTGACAGTGAATAGTGCCACTCTTGCGGTGAACCTCATTGGTTGTCTGGCGTGGATGTGTGGTGGCGGTGGAGCAGCTAACTTTGGCTTGGCTATCCTTTGGCTCATCCTTTTCACGCCTTGTTCATATGTGTGCTGGTTTAGGCCCATATACAAAGCTTTCAAGTGAGTTGTTTTTCATACATATTCTAAAGTATTGTGCCTGGCATTTTGTTGAAGTTATTTTAATGCATATGTTTTCTGGCAGGACTGACAGCTCCTTCAACTTCATGGCTTTCTTCTTTGTTTTTATGGCTCAAGTTGTGATCACTATTATTCAGACAGTTGGGATCCCAGGCTGGGGAGTGTGGTAAGTGAGAGTAAGCAAGTTGTGAGAAACTGAATGTTTGTTATTTTTGTATAATTCAGGAACCTTTTAAATTTTAGAATCTGAAAACCATGAAAGGATTATAAAGTTTTCATATTTATATTCATATTCATAATCACTTTATACATGCTGTTTTGTTATAATGAGGGCTGCTCTATGGTTGTCTTTATTTGTTGTCTTAACTTTCATGATGTGGTATATTCTAAATTTGGACTGCTTTTGTCCTGCTTTAGTGCTGCTTTAGTGCTTATTTCTTCTTGTTTATGACATGTTATTAACCGTGTTATTAAAGCATTAAGTATATGTTGTATGGTGATTGTTTGTGGTGGTACTTGGTGTGAAAGAAGAATTTACATATATACTCATACACAGAATTAGCGATTCTTTTAGTCAGACAGGAGATTTTGTTTACTTGCTTTGCATGTTTAGGCTACTTCCTGTTGCCTATACTCATACTCATACTATACAATACTGATTGTATCATAAACACTTTTTTCCCTCTTAGTGGCTGGTTGGCGACCATTACCTTCTTCAGCACCAACATTGGCTCAGCTGTTGTGATGCTTATTCCCACCATCATGTTCACTGCAGTGGCTGTGCTCTCCTGCATTGCCCTAACAAAGGTGACCTAAATTTTGAGGGTTTTTTTTGTTTTGTTATAAAAAATAAATAGAATTTATGTGGTAGTTACACCAACCTGAAGGTCAGCAGTTCAAACTCAGCTCCTCTCAGCTTCAGCTAATATGCATGTGGAGAGTGGAGAATTCTTTTGGCAGTTCAATGTCATATCATATGAAATGGCAAACTTCCTAACTATTGTTTAACCAAGGAGGTCCCATTGGTAATATACATTATACTTATGTGCGACGCAGGTCCATAACTTTTACCGTGGCAGTGGAGGGAGTCTGGGTAAGGCCCAGGAGGAGTGGACCACCGGGGCCTGGAAGAACCCTCACGTTCAGGCTGCGGCTCAACAGGCTGCAGTTGGAGCTGCTCAGGGCGCCATGCAGCAAAACCAGTATTCTGCAGCACCCACCTACAACTACGATGAGCCAATGTAGGACAGAGGAGCCGAGAGGGAGAGATAAAAAGGGATCAAGTAGGAATTCAAAATTAGGTGCCCTTCATTTCAACTAGATTCTGAGAGAACAATGGCTTTCATTCATATGATGTCGCCACAGTCTTTTTGTCACTGCAAAAATCAACGTTAGTTTAAAATACTTGAATTCAGAATATATATCTCAATTTGAGTGGGTATATCAAGTTTTTATTATTAAAGCCAGTATCTAAACTGGTTAAAACTACTCAAAATAAAATTAATATTCTGAATACATGTCATTTTAAACTATACAGATTTCTTTCCATTTTGTCTATGTGTAGAATGGTAGTAGTGTTAAATTTAGGTAAGGCAAGCAAAATGTCTGTTGTCCCCATCAGAGCTTCTAACATCTTCAGATTTGATCACAACCATTTTGGATTCTAGGTTGTGATAATGTCTCATTATTTAGATAGTGTTCCCATGATGTCAAAGCCACTTAAAAAGAAAATTCTTAAATTAATGTATTTAGTTCAAGCATTTATAGTAAGGACAGTCGCAATCAAGATACTATATATGACATTTTGCCAACCCATAGATGTCTTAAACGAAAAGACATGATAAAAAAAACAAAAAAACAATTGATATTGTTCTCTTACAGAATCAGGCATTCTGTAAAATGTTAAATGTATTTCGACACGTGTCGCTGTCCATTAGTCCAATATCATGCAGAAGAACAATCTTTTTACTTTGCTCATTGTAATGTGTTTTATTCTAACTACAGTTCCCTAAGCTTTATTGAAGTATTCTAAGGTGGTCCACAGCAAATCACTGTCTGAACTATAATAGCCATATTCTATTATATTATGAGCTTCCATTCCAAAATTAAAGTAAATATATTATGACCAAACATATTACAGTTATACAAAGAAGATGCTTGATAAACAAATCTCTCTGTGATCTATAATTGTGTGTTAAATAGCATTTTACATCTCAGGTAAGAGAATTTGAATGCTCCTCTGGTCTTCTTATGTTTTATGTCACTTTGTCCCTGCATTTTGACTGCAAGGCATACCAGGTTTGGCCATTCTACACACAGAGTGGTATCAATTCATTGATAGAAATTCTTGACCAACTCAAGAAGCACATGCAAAATTAGGATTTTCTAGATAAAACATTCAAATATGTACAGGTCATAAAATGGAAGAACCAAAACATGTGAACGTACAGTAAATATATCATTGTTGTTGATGGTGGCAGTGTTGTACGATGGATGTTTTCCCCCTTTGGAAACTCTCCCACTAAATGTAACTATTTAAAACACTGAATTTCAGGCCTTAGCTTGTCATTTTGTGGCTGTTGGTGTTACTCCGTTATAATTAGGTATACATGATAAAGATATATATATAAAGAAAAACACTTTTAACTTCACTTCTTATGAACAGAAGGTAAACGAGATTGTGTGTTGTCGCCCATGTGTGGCTTGATGTGTCCATATTTTTATTTCAAATCCTCAGAATTTACTAGATGGTTATAACAATAATTCTGTATTAGACTTGAAAATGAAGTGAATTGTATCTGAATGCTTCTTATTTGAAAACAGTGAGCTGTCTTGTCCGGTTGTGCTAGTGTGGTATTAATAGACAGGTTGTTTGTTCCCTTTTTTGTATCTGTTTTTTTGTTTGTTTTTTTTAACCTATTTTTATGTATGTATTATATGGATGATGTGTGTATGAATTTGAAGCAAATCTCAGTGTCTCTCCATGGCTGAGGATTAGTAGGTAGTTGTATTATTTTTTAATATATTTTTTTTCAACAGTTGTCCAGTATTTGTAAATTTGGTAAAAATTTGGATAGATTATTCTAAAATTATTCCAAAATAACTGGTGTGGAGAAGTAGACAGGTGCAATGACACTAGTTATGTTGTGTTATGGAATTATTATTTAATGTGTTTATAGCATAATAAATATATACCAGAGCTCATATAGTACACTGGGTATTATAGGATGAAGTGTACACCTTCTTCTCTAATCCTCTGGTTGATTGATTGCTCCCGCCGTTGGCTTCCCCAATTCAAGTAAAGAATTAGTCAGTTCTCCAAAAGTTAAACTACTTTTATAAAATTCTGAACTGTTTTGAAAAATGTTGTCAGTTTTATTTCTAATGTCATGTTTACTAATAGTATGATGAATCCTAGACGAGCAATACTAGCAAATTTATGACATTTTAGCAACCATGTTTTGATTGTTATTTAAAAACTTTCATAATTTGTCACCTCACCAGCACACAGTATTTATGAGATATAGCCATATCATTCTGTGCATTTTAATTAGTAAATGCACAGGGTTTTTGGTTCAGTACTCAATATGCACAACTTCTTTCTTTCTGTAGTGGTGGTTTATGGTGAATTTGGGACCATATTTTGTACATACAGCACAGTTATAAAATGGTCTTTGTTGCTGGTGTAGTTGTGTATCAATTTATTGTACTGAAATTAGGCATCACATTATGACCACTGGTTGAGTTTAAATTAAAATTTCAACTATATATAATTATCCTAAGCAGATGGTTGTTGATATAATTGGCACTTTATTTTATTTTATTTTACCATTTGTAAAAACAAGATCAGAAACATAACATCAGCGATTGGGTTAGATCTCTGAAACAGCAGCTTTTGATGCTTCCTCTTAATGCAGTAGACTGCAGCTTAAGTACTGTCTAAAAATTTACTCAAGGAAGCACCATCACTACTAATATTTGGCAGGTGATCAGAATGTGTTGCCTCAGGTCATTATTCCTGTAATATGTATTCCATGCTGTATCAATGCTTTGTATGACATCCCTCATCATGGCCCCCAAATGAATGTTTGATATGTATTATATTATGATTAGTATAAATATATAATGACTTGAACTGACATCATCAATATATGCCATGGATAAACACGTCTAAGAAACATGCTTAAAATGAATGGGTTTGTTGTTTGAGAAGGCTGTGTTCATGAGTGAAGTAAATGAGAAATACCTTTTTGTGTATTACTTTTGTATTATTTGATCTTATCCTAATAGATATTAAATTGTTCTTGTTGCAGTCTTGTGGTTTCCTCAGATTATGTTGGTTTGAAACAAACATGTTGACCTACAAATTTTTCAAATGGGTATTTGTACTCATGATTGGCATCATGGCCTATGAGGGGGAAAAAAATTTATTTTAACTAAAATTTTAGATAAAGATTTAAAAATGTCACTTGTGGCTTTTAACATATTTGGGGTCATGACACAACAGCTAACTGCTGACGTCTGTTCATGCAACTTTGCAAAGAAGAACAGGAAGTGGCCTATTTTTCAAGAACAGACGGAATGCATCCTCCAAATGTATAAGCATGAGTTTGTCTTTATGGAAGTCAACACAAATATAAAAATTTATTTTTAAAAACTCAAAATACTCAAGCGAACTCCATTTAGACAATGATGGACTCTCTTCCAATATGCGTGGACAATGTGTATATCTCAGCCAGTAACTAAGAGAAAAAAGAGAAAGAGAAACCATAGCAGGTGGCATTGACTGCAAACCCAAAATAATCCTGGATTTGTCTTTCTCTGAGATGTGAGCTAAAAAGGATTTTAATTTTCAAAATCCAGTATATTATGTCAACAACCATGTATGGATTTCTAACATAAAAAAATAAATAAATTCCTACTCCCAGCAGCCGGATCACTTCTTCTAAGTATGGGTTTAAGGTGAGATGATCTCAGGAGAGAATCCTACATCATGTCAATAAATTTTTAGAAATAATCATAACACATTCATTTTATCAGTGTGCTTTGTAATTGAATACATCATCACTACTCAGTCAAACTATTGTCTGTAAACTACTTTGCTTCAATAGCCAACTTGCCACTGGTGCAAAGATGTAGACATGGCTGCCATAGTTACGCATACAACCTTTGTCATCATTCACACATAGTCAGTGCACATGGAGTAATCTTAAAATTCTTTATTCATAAACTTGATGCAAGTTTACAAATTACTGTACACATGGTCAAAATGTCTTCAAATGGAAAAAAAATAAAATAAAAAATAAAAAACAAAGCAAACCAACAAGTGCTGGGTTTTGCCATCTGTCACACTTTTTGTTGGCATGAGAAAATGAATGTATTAACAACATAGAACGCCCAGTCCAGTTTGAAAATTCACCCC